TGGAATTTCTACGCTTGTTTTTCAAACGTCATTTCGCGAGGAAACCACGCAGTGGTGGCGTCGTGAAATGTCAGCTGTTTTTGCAGGCTGTAACAAAAGTGACTTCATTTTCTTTTTGGCTACAAGAAAGGTTTATAGGACGTTTTACACCATATTATTGGGACTCCGCATATGAAAGTGATGGGGATGCACGTCGTCTCACTTAGGGGTGTAAATTGTGGATTTTGGTCTCACTTAAAGTGTTCTGGGCAAAACGTTATCATATTTAGCCGTGGGGGTCTCGTTTTAAGGTTGCACGCCCAAAAATATACAAATGTACATTTTTCCTGTGTTTTAACATGGTCTCTTTTAGGGGTCAAAAAAAGCTTGGACCACGCCCAGATCGGTCTCCTTTAGGGGTTTCATTCAAAATTTCCGAGGAGCATCCCCACCCTTTTTAGATGTGGACTCCCCCCCCCACGGGCTTTTGCCATACTTTTGAATGAAATCAATACCACCAATTCAAAAGCTAAGTGCTGTACATCACTTTGTTGAAATGAAATTCTGCAGGGTCTAAAAATTTAAAGGTAATTTGTTAATTGCTTTCTCTCCTTAAATTGTGCGACTTTGGTGTATAAGCCGAAGGAGATGATAACAAATTCAGCGATTGTTACAATATCCGCAGAGAGTAGACACAAAGTATGAAGAGATTATAGTTTACACTGTAAATTAACAATTCAGTGCATGAGAACGGAAAAAAAGTCATGCAAATTTCAATATGCTAATGTCCGTCGTTACCACTGCGGGAATAGACGAGATTTTTGTATTTAAGACGCCTTAAAAATGAGTCTCGGAATTTGTTATCAATGACGTTTCTATGGGTCAGTACACACGATCAAAAAGAAGACACTGATATCAACGTTTGATTCATTGCCTTAGTATGCATTGCTGTAGCATGCGTCACAAACGAAACTAAACTCTGGTTAACCGAGGTTTAATTACGTCTGCAACGCCGGCTAGCATTGCTAGGGCATAAGAAATTAAGGATAAAGATTAAACAGGCGGCGTTGGTCTCTCTCCTCATGCGTGTCTCGGATGGTCTCATAAAAACACTGCTGTGGACATGGCCAAATAAAAAGTAGCCGAGAGTGACGTGAATGTTTCTTACTTAAAATATGATAGAACTGTTCACACGAGTAGACATCTCATTGTTTTCAGGAGGAAAAACGCCCGGCGGACTTAATCGTGCAACTTTAACAAGATAATTATAGATCGGGGAATTGAATTAGGTTACGACCTGTAATGGTTAGCTACAGAAGAACTGAACAGGAATCAGTGATATCATGCAATAATTGAGAAAACGTTGTAGTTAAATTAATCAATCTATCAGTGGATCTCGTCGGTGCCACTAGAACCTCAAGCTACGTGCAAACGGACGCAACAACGCCCAACATTGTTGGGCCAACAATGTTGGGAGTTGTTACATCCGTGTTGGCAATGATGTACAAACGGATGTAACAACTCCCAATAATGATGAGACCTGCAGTGTGTCGTGGGAAGGATACAACTCTTAAGACTACTTTAGAACCATGTGTAATGCGCGTGCCTGGCTTAATTAATGTTGGAAATAGTTTTGCAAAAGGACGCAACACGTAACATCAAAGAATATTGGCAGTTGTGGGCCAACGACGTTCGGACGGCGCTAAAGCTGCTGTTAATACCAGGCATACGCTATCGGGTCCAACAGATTTATTTTAACTTACTCTACCATTGAGAATAGAATAAAAAACAGCAGTTTCTTTTCCCACTTTTGGTATTTAATGTCGTTACAAATGGCGGTTCAAGTCAGGTTCTGTGATCAATGACAGTAAACAAAAATGGGCAGTTGTGGAGACAGTAAATGTATTCACTTTCGATGGAAAGGAAATGTGAGGCTATCTAGGTGCCTATTGAAACCGGCAGCTGTCCATTGCTGCCAAACAACCCTCGGTTTCCGTTTTGGTTGCGAACTTAAAAGACAGTACCCTGGTTCCAGAGGTCCGTTCTCAAAATACCTAAAATGAAATGAACCGTGCTTACGGTTTGATAGGGCTCGCGCCTCGTTGACGAGGTTTTATCACGAGCCATTAGTCGGATCGATGAGAAAAAATATCCTCTGAAACCCAGGGTAAAAAGACAGCTAATACTCGCACTCAATTGTTGGGTTTCTGATCTTTTTTATTGTTTTCGCCGAAATGCGCATTTTAAAAGATGCTCAGGCTGGTTAGCTATAAGCACAGAGAGTAGCACTTTCCTGTAACAAACTGTAACGTTTACTTTTATTTGCATTAACTTCCACTTCAAGAGACAAATTAGGTGAGTTTACTCCTACTCCGCACATGTACTTAATGTAATACTAATCTAATTTAAAAAATACAATTACTGCAAAAATGCCTAAGGAAATGTTAAATGTTGATGCAAATCTATCATGTATCACTAAAGTAACGACCATCTGAGGAAAAGATACCCCCTTGATAGCGCCCAGCAATTAATAACTTTCCTTTATGTTTGTTATTACTCGTAAACACGAAACTAAGCGAAAACCATGGACAGAAGTTATGAAAGGTATCAACGGTTTAGTTCTGAAACATCGACAGTACTGGCGCAATACGATAACAAAGTCACGCTTAATTTAGCTCTCACTAGAAAACATCCAACTGCAAAACGGGTCACGTGACTGGTTCCAGGGTAAAATATGGAATATATCCCTAAAAGTACTAGAGATTAAAAGAGCGATAAAAAGGGGGGTCAACCAAATTTAAGATCGTAACTGCGATTTTATAGTTATATCAAGAACGGAGAAAATGTAATATGAATAATTTGAAAAACAAAAAATCAGAATTTGTGCGGCATACAAACCCTGATAATCTTGCCGACAGTCGACACCCATCTTAGGTTCAGGGCCTCAAAACTGGCTTCAAGCTACTTTTCTAATGCTCTTCTCATCTCTGATGCTGATTATTTTTTGCTTCCCCCAACTTTTGCATTAACCAGGTCACGTACGTCCCATGTGCCAAGAACTAATTCGATACCAGCGCTACTAATGTATTACTTTGTCTCTATAGTTAACATTTTGTAGTCCCTAAATAAGAAAGTCTTAAAACCTGCTAATTTGTAAAGATGCAGGGTGTGTTGCATTGGTACTTTTAAAAACGGATAACGTTAGAGGTAAAAATTTCGACGAGAAAAGTGCTTCTAGTACTGAACAACTTGTCATTCCGCAAGTGTCAAAGCCTTTGTAAAAGCTGACTTTTATGCTTCTTGCGTGATCCCCAATTGAACTAATTTCAAGCTGTTTTTTTTTCCCAAAGAAATACAAATATAAAACTAAAATAAAAAATAGCGTTGAGATTAAGCTTTTACAATTAAACACTAACAAAAAAAACCTCAATGGTGTTTCTGCATGTTACACAAGATCGAACGTTACAAAGCTACAAACACAAACACGCAGCAAAATGCTTCAAAGTGAATAAAACAATAAACAATGCGTTTGACTAGATACTTAAAAAATATCGTAGAAAAATTACTGAGTAAGTAATTAATAAGGCTAGTCAAAGATTGTGTCGAAGAATATTCGATCGCGAGTGGCACCACAAACTTTTGATACACACGTCTATACTGGACCTCTTTTAAGAGTAATTTAAAAGAGTTTTTTCAATAGTATTCCCTAATTCACAACTCTTTTCAGTCTTGTAAGTCGATGATTTTTACAGATTTTGATTTTTAAATCTTAGATTTCTTAGTGTTATTTTATTTTATTTTCCTTTTTCGATTTTCTTCTTTATTTTTTAGCTATTTATGAGATAATTACAGGACCCTTCTGGTAACAGTTCTTTTTATCAGAACTGATAGGTTATCCTGTATAAATATTCGCGTTGTTATTATTATTATTATTATTACTATTATTACAAATTTTAGTCTTCTGGAAGTTGCAGACTGGAATAGCTTCTCAAATGTAGCTTGATTATTAGCCTACAGAACATGACAGAAGAAAAAAGGGAAAATTAAAATTTAGCCAACTAACCTAATTTCTTCATCACTTTATAAGATTAGTGGGACATACACTGTAGAATACTCTGTGGTATTCCCTCTCTCTCTCTCTCTCTTTTTTTTGGAGGGAATAGTTTTACTCCATTTATCGTCTCGCCACTCTTGGTTCTTTTTTGGTGTAAACTACTTTTGGTTCTCAGCTGTTACAGTTTTTCGCTTGCCTGTTCCTTCCTGGCAAAACTCGTGAAATTCTTAATTATCATCTCGCCAACGGGAATGCCACTCGAAATAAAATTACACTTGTTTCAGATCCCAAGTATCAAAAGTGGCTCCCAGATTGTCTTTACGTGTAACCACACGATGGCCTTTCAACAACTACAACCAGCACACACTGAAACCAAGAGTATGTGCCACATGAATTTTAAAGCCTAAAACTGAAATGTTTGCACGACACTAAATTTTCAGACGGAAGCGCAACGAATTTGGACAACAATTATCGACGTGTAAAGGTATCGGAATGGTATAATTGGTATTGCCATCCCAATTTAGTGGTTCTCCGTTATTTAATCGCATACTGAAAGTGAGGTTCTTGAGTAAAGGCATTAAAAGACTGAACGAATCCCTTTTTTCTATCAAGATTTGGGACGAGCTAGTTCTTACTCGATCGTGGCCGAATGTCCTAACTTTTCTAACTTTGTCCTAACTTGTGGCCGAGCGGTTAGGGCGTCGGACTCGCAATCCGGCGGTCCCGGGTTCGAGTCCCGTTCTAGCCAATTGCTGGATTTGTTCTCGGTCGTCCAATTTAAATCCTCGGCCATGCTTTTAATAGCGAACTGGTTGCCTCCTGCCAGTTGGGTTTTGAATCCTGTTATGTTGTGTTTGAAATATTTGTCTCTAAGTATTTGACTAGTTTCTGTAAACTAGCTGCACTTTCCACTATAAAGAAGCTTTTAAACCTTTCAAACCTTTAAATGAAATTAGTGGCAGTATCGTTAAGACGCACCTTCATTCAGTTTCACTCGAACCCTCTCCAGAATCTTTGTCGCTGTTTTAAAGGCTTCTTCTGCCTGCGCCGCTGAGTATACGTCATGGGGTATCTTGGGGTAGGACATAGTGTCAGGATAACGCATGTGGGCTGAATTAATCACAAGACGTTCAAGCTGGGCTGCTAAACAACCTAACACAGCGTCATCAAAACCACAACAATTCCGTACCAAATTGTGGTCATTTGTCTTCTGATTAGCATCCACGTTATATTGCACAGCCTTCAGGGCCTTTTCGGCTGCCTGGAAAGAATAGAACAGTTCACCATTGTTGAGCTCTGTGAAGTAAGTACGGACCTAAAACGGCCAATCTGTATAATTCTATAATTCAAGTTTGGACTAACACAAAACAGATTTGACGATTTCATTTTTAACGGCAAGCTACAATAGAGGAAACAAAGCGTAAAACAAATCATAGATAGATTCCTTCCACCCTAAACAAGTCTTCTTCTAGCAGCTCTAACAAAGTGAAATTCAGGGACGGAAATAAATCAACTTACGACACATACCAACCAAGCGTTAAACAATATATACCTCGCTACAGAACACTAATTTAATCCGGTTCAGCAAATGAAGATCAGTAGCATGTCCACTCCCACTAAATTTATTGTCTCTTAATTACGCTTATCTGTAATTCCCATGAATAAGTATGCAGCTTTTATGAAAGCAAAAACAGCAAAAACAAATTGAAAAGATAAAGAAATGCATTTTTACTAATTACCTGGTGGCATTTAAAGCAAATCCACTCAAATGAGTCAGTGGTAAAGGCTCTCTCTCTACCGCAAGACTCAAGGTCAGCTTCAGCTTGTCTCAACCAACGCTTGGCCTCTTCAGGTTGGGGATTTTTTTCGCAGAAACTTGGGGGAACATTTTGCCACGAACTATTGCCCGATGAAGACGACCATGACCCATAATGACTGCGAAAGCGTCCTTTATAAGTTTCCCGCTGTGAGCCATGTTGTTTTGCACGCTCTTCCCATGAAGCATACCAGTCATCGTAACAGCCACCGAGCCGAGAAACTTCATTCTTTAAATGTTGGAAAGCCACAAGGAACAAGTGTCTGCTGGTGGTATTCTCTCTTGGAAACCAACGCATGAATAGCCGCTTGACAATTTGGGTTCTCTCGTCCTCTGGCATTTCCCAGGCGTTCTGGAGGGTATCTGAGATCTCTTTAAGCACTTCTTCCATATCTTCGTCCTGTTCCTCAAATATGTCTTGCAAACGGTGAAATTTATACAGCTTAGCAGCACTGACCTCAACTGTTTCTTTGTCGTGTCCAATGTTGATTCGGTATGCCTTTGTCAAGATAACAGTATCTTCAATGTTAATCTCCTCGACTATTATGGCGTAAATGAATATTGGCATGCCTTCCCTCTGGACTAGACTTGGGTCGTGTAGCTGATAACCAACGTACTCTCCAGGTTCAAATTCTTCAAAAGCGTCATTTAGCAGATGGTGGTCTTCAGTTGGAATCAATGTACCCGGCTCTGGATAGATATCTAAGTCTGCCGTGGTGTAACTGTCATCTTTACGAACTCTCATTCTATCTAACAGTGGCCATATACTCGAAGGCGGGCAACGAAGCATCTCACCAATTAGATACGCCCTCCTTTGAAGAAACTCTCCATACATTTCCCCAATTACGTCCGATATGATTGAAATGGCTTCATTCATTCCAGACAACGTATCAATGTAAACTCTGCATATCTCCACTCCAGATTGCTCCCACCTTTCAACAAAGTATGGAACATCAGCTTCACTTTCTGGAATCTGAACTTCATTGAGAAAGAGGGAGGTCCTGAGACCTTCAACAGCAAACAACTGGATGCTCCGGAGACCTTTCTGAATGCCTTCAATGACTCTTTCGTCAAAATCTTTATTCTGGTAGTTGACGTGTCGTATAATTCTTGCAACGCCCCGAACAAAAGGGGTACAAGAAATCTGCTGTTTCAGTGTGTTCACTGCTCCGCTTTTGACTATTTTTGTTTGTTTAGGATCTTCAATTTTTTCTTTCACCACAGCTGAAAGCATTCTAGGCTGTACGGCAGAGGGTAACTTTAGCACTAGATCTGAAAAATTTACCATGGCTGATTTACGGCTCACGCCCATTAGACTGAGTTCAAGCACAAATAGCTGGTTAAGACCCTTTATTCGACTGCCATAGGATGGGTCATCATCAAACAAAAGCTCCGTTGACTGACGCAAAGTAACAGGGATGGTGCTGACCTGTAGATGGACATTTGAAAGGCAAAATTTGGACGGCATTGCTGGGAGGTACAATTTAGAGAGAGTCGATACGGCGCCTGAGTCATCTTGCAAATGGTTGAAGAATCCTTTGACGGCCTTTGCACACGTGCTAACCTCGTTGGGGTTCAGTTTGGAATCCATACAGTTTCGATGCATCATTTCTAGCACCATGGCGTAATGTCTACAGGTTACAGTCTGTGAGCAGCCGACAAACTCAAACAAAGCCTGGAACTTTCCAAATACTGGTGGAATTCTGTACAGAAACGGCTTAATCTCAAGACTCTGGTAGAGTTCGATGACCGCTTGCTTGGGAAGAATGAACGTTTTCCCTCCCTCAACGAGGATAAACCGTGTGGTTTGGAGCAGCACCTTGGCTTCATGGTCTTTGATCGCGTTTTCCTGCAGAAATGCATAAATACTTTCCATGACCCTTGTTACTACAGGGCACTGGTCAGCCGTGATATTTCTCCTTGCACTGACGGTTTGGCAGTGACTAATAACAAGACCAACAGATGGCTTCGTCCGAATACAAAGCTGTGTGAGAAATGCCTTAAGGTACTGGTCAACGTTTCGATGATTGCAACCGACTGACAGCTCGTAGCGATGACTTCTTGGGTCTGCTGACTCTGGAAGCAAATGTGCCTTCGTCCAAACGATTTTTTCATATTCGTTAAAGACTGCATCTTTAAATGCAATAAAAGGAATTTCCCCTCCTTGTCTCACCCAAAACGGTGTGCACAATTCTTCCAGTGATTGTTCAACAGGATCTGCTACCACGAATGGAATATCACATACACGGTGTAAAAGACCTTCGCCTACCACATTGGGTCGAGAGAAGAGGTGTTGCACCAGAACAAGAGATTTTTGGAAAGTTTCCTTTGTTCTTTCTGATTGGGCTTCACGTGCCACTTGGTTAGCAAAGTTTACAAAATCCTCTCCTGAAACATCTTTTATAAGGCCCACCTTCTCGAAAAAGGACAGCCATTGGTCCGAGTTAAACGGCTTCGGTGGAAAACTGTCTTTTGATAGCATTGCAAAAAATACTTCATTGCGGGGATCGTAGAAATTGGATGCTGTCTTCCAAGAGCCATCCCGAGCTTGGATGATTTCAGTTCTCTTCAAAGAGTCCACAAGTTGTTTCTTCTCGAGGTCCTCGCTTTCGTTTTCTATTGCACTTAACGGGGACAAAAAGGCTCGAAGAAAGAGAAGGTGATCCAGCTTCCCTTTGAAACTAAGATATTGAAAGCATTTTAAAATGAAATTTAGGTAAACATATGATGGTGTTACTTGCTGAAATTCCAGGAAATCATATAATTTTAACAGACTTTGGCACGATTCTACAAAAAAACAATGAAGTTTGCCTTCAACAACAACCATTTCGGTTTTTGGGATCTCACTAGGGAGAACAAAGACATCCCTATCTTGAACTTTTCCAAGCTGTCCGCTCGCCTTTAGAAAGAACGGAAGATTCTTAAGAATTGCTCTGTCATCGTATACCAGAGCCTGGGTGTTTCGTGCAAAGTACTCCAAAACTTCAATAGCTTCCTCACACTTTAGTTTACCATCAAGAGAGGAAGGATTAGTCTTCAGCCTCTGATTGAGCGCCTTTAGAAGGGAATGGGGTGTCTTCATTGTCGCTACAAGATTACGTGCAAGATTGTACGATTCAAGTTTGGTGTAGCAGGTTGAATTTATCAATGCTGTTGACAGTATGCTCCAGCTGAGCTCTGGCAATCCCAAACATCTTAAGGCCTCGACCAACTTCTTGCTTGATTGACCACAATCAACAAAGTCGAGAACCGATTCTGCCATACTCAAAGGTACCAAAAAATGATCTGTAACTGTGTTCTGGTCGCCCACAGTATTCAAAGGGCTTGGTATCTCTCTTCTGTTGCACCGCCTCACTCCTGTTGCTGGAAGAATGCACCATGTAGCCAATGCCGGGACGAGTAGGCCACGAACAAAGGAAATTTTCTTTTCCTCGGTCAAATCTTTCATTTCTTCCGGGCTTAGATCTTTCAGTTTTTCGCTGACAAACTTCTCAAAGAAATGCCAAACCCTGAAAATCCAACGACGGTTCGGTAAAGCCGTGGACTGTGGCTCACCTTCAGGAAACCACCTCATGTAGCGATCCTCGCTACAAAAACATTCAGGAAGAGTTACGTGCAATTGAGAGGAGAAGAGTTCTATATCCAAAGCTCGGAAAACGGATGTCTTTTTTATATCAGCTATGTTAAAAACGCCGCTGAGAGCCTCTTTGTTCACAAACAGGGCAGGCGATTGTGGTAAAATATCCCAGTAATGACTCAGACATCGAGGGTCGCTCTTACTAAAGACACGCAAATAGTTATCTTGTGTAAGGAGCAATGGAAGACCCTCGAGATTCTCCAGAAATTCGCCATCGTCTTTGCAGTACTTCAGAGTGCGAATAACTTCTCTTACGTCTTTGAATGGACTCTTGTCGACGGGACATGGAACATCACCAATACTGCACAACGGGTTACTATCTTTAAAGGACTTGTAAAAGTCCATCACAGCCAAAGGCGAAACGCAGAACACCTCTACTCCTGCCTCTTTCAATGAATCAAAGACGTCAACTGATAATGCTACCAAGTTAAAACCAGTTTCCAGCAACATTTCTTCGAATCTGTGCTTTTGTTTACTGCGCATTTCTTCCCTCTTTATTCTCTCCTCCTCAGCAACATCTGGCTTTGGTGGCACATAAGAAAAATAGCCCTTTATCTCGAGATTGTTGAAGTATGTTTGCTTCTTGCCAGTGCCTTGCGGTGGAAACCATGTGACCTGGACCCTGGCAGATCCTTTGAAATTCTTGGCATGCAGACCCGGAATAGTCTTCGGGCATCTCACTACTGGAATAAGGTGCATTTCCTTCTGGCTCATTTCCTGGTATATGGAATCAGCTAATATCTTCCAATGTGAATCTTCAAAAGGATACCTAGGAAACAGTCCTTCATAAAAAGATAACACCTTCATGATTTCATTTTTGCTCAAGGTGGAATTCTGACCTGCAATACCCTGCCCAACTGGCAGCTGAATGTATCCACGCACCTTGTCCAGGAGGGTGAGGTAGCAGGAGGTGATAACATCACGTAGCAGGGCTTTATTCCAGTCACTTCGATAACCACCAGCCTCATCCCGCCACAAATTTCTTCTGGCCTCGTGGTCTAACGCAAAGTGACCATTGATATAAACGGGTAAATCGGTTTTGAAGGGCAGAGGAAGGAAGCAGTACGCTTTACCTACTTTACCGTCTTGTTGCTCAACTGACCTGCTGCTGCTTAAGAGCGGTTTTCTGTAAGGACCGACTAAGGGTATGCAAGATAGAAAAATCCGATTTTCCCAAACTTTGCCAGAAAGAAGGCCTTGGTGAACTGTTTCTAAAAATATAACTTTCGGGTCGTTTGGGGTTTTACTTATTTTGTAGTAAATTTTTTAAATTTTGGCCGTTAACGCCGGCTTTAATCACGCCGAAATATGCACTTTTGCAGAAGTTCCCATTAATACCTTGAAACCTTTCTTAAAAAGATTAACCAAGCAAATCAAACTATCTTCTTTCGTCAGATTATCGGTGTCGTCAAATGCAAATAAAATGTAAACGTGAAAATTTGACAGATTTTCTAATTTTACACCTTTCAATGGTGATTACAACAACAGTATTTTGGCTAAATTCAAGGCCTAGAAAAGCACTCTGGTACATCGCTTTGACCAACAAAACTATACTACGAGGAAACATTATCATTTCAACTAAACATTAATGAAAAAAAAAATTGAGGTAAATGAAACGGCGAGTTCTGAGAGCGATTTCAAAACAGGTCATTTTAACAATTATGAGTGACCTTTGACCTTTAATATTCATGGAAATAAACGCCATGAGCTCTGACTTTTGTTTGCGTGATGACGTTTTTTTGTCTTTACCAGTTTGTTTTTACTTAGAAATACTTGACTTTTAAATTTTGAGCCATGCAATTCATTTGGAATAGTAAAATTGGAAATTAGAGACAGTTTGCTCAGACATGTCAGTTTTGTCTACTGCCGACTCTCTAGTACCAGTCTATTGATACAACACAAATGCGGCAACAAATGCGAGGTAAATCAATGTGCGAGGTACTTGACTACTATGTCTTATCTCAGCGATGCTTTCTTGGATAGAAAGAACCGCATTCATGGAAGTTCCTGACAAAAATCGCCGAGCGCATATATCACCTGAACGTGCAACATGACCAAGTATTGAATGCCACAGGACACCTAGGATTGGATATGGTCGCGGAGAGGTCGGTACATCTTTGGTAGTTCAATGTTTTTTTGCTTTGGACTGATAAATAAAATCTTTTTTCCTGGATTATCGAGTTGTTCTCCGTTAATTGAGAAGAGCCCGCATTCCGAAGAGGCACGCAGCACTGGCTTACTTCTTACTTTCTTTAATTGCACCTGTTAATTTGTACAGTGCAGTTTACTCATTGACTTCATTCAATCATTGTGTACTTGCAAATGGCTTCATGTGAGTATGGGCAGATTGCAGGAGGAACATGTGGTTCTAGTGTGGACAATCCAGAAAATGTGAAGAGCGTGATCCTCGCGAAGTGTACAAAAGCCATACAAGGGCATCTACGTTCTTGCAACATTCGAGACGCTAGTTTAGACTCTGAACTAAAGCTGTTGTTGGCACGTGCAGGTACGTAAGGTAGATGTCTGTATTAAACAGGCCATCTTTAAAAAAAAAAAACAAGAAAGAATAGACGCATAATTTAAAGAAAGGAAAATAAACGCCTCCCAATCTTTTTACATCGAGAAGAATCGGTGTGAGACTAAAACTAAATGTAATTTAGCTGCATCGTGGTCTGATTCAGACTGTTTTTATATTTTGAAAGGTGTCCGCAAATTTATCGAAGCATCACTAGTTTTCGTACGTCTGCAGCCTGTAGATTTCAATTATTGTCCATAATTTACACACTAAATAAAACTGGACGATGTTCAAGGTTTAGTTACAAGGGTAACGCGGAAAATGACTTGAAAGGAAGGCTTAATGAAGAGTGACGCTCAGCACCTTCTTTGATTGATTCGTGTACTTCTCATTTTACTGCATTTCATATACAATTTTTACTCCGTTAATTAAGGGCCATGATTGCAACTTACAACGCTAAAATATTTTTAGACATATTCCTAAAACACATGGCGTGTTATTCAAGAATGAATTTTACTGACAAAGATATGAGTGATAATTAACCCGTGCAGTAGCCGACTTAATCAAATTAAGATCAATATCAGAACATCTGAACTCAGCCAAAATGCAAAAGTTAAAGCCTCCGTGTTTCTCAGTAAACACGCAAAATTTAAACTTATTCCTGATCATTAATACTTCAATGCGATGAGAAGTTTATTTTTAAAAAAATTATTAATATTGTCTACATTTATAAACCATCTCAGATTTATCGCGAGCATTACAGCCTTGTTTGTTTCACAGGAACTTTACAAAAGTGAGGAACAAAAACTGCTTTTGGGATGACTGGACGTCCAAAGAAAAATTAAAAATAAAGCTTTTGATTTATCTTTTGGTGCATAAATTAACGATAAACGTGGAAGAAGCGAATAAAATGTGAACGACGCTGCGATATATACGCTAAAAATTGTTAAGTAAAAGGCACCTTACAAACCTTTTTATCTTTGAAGGAATTTTTTGAGTTAAACGAAAGTCACCTTGAACTAACAATATGCCCAAGACATCAAGACGAATTTGGCATTAGATGGCGTTCAAATAAGAGGATATGCACTGCTCCCAGTGAATGGTCATCGCATGGAACTTTAGTGTCAGGGGAGAGGAATATCATCTCTACATTCCAAGCTACTCTACCAGCAAACCCAAGTGTTGCTTCCTGTAGGCTCCCGTGAGTGTTAAACCTGTAGTGATATTTTACAACATTGCCAGGTTTAGAGCGTAAAAAATGGCAGTTTCAATTTCCTCCACTGCCATTTTTGTATTTTAAATTCATAATCGGATATACCCCGCCCCTAAAATCTTTAAATCAAGAAACGTGTTACCGAACAGTTTCAACACATAGCTGCAATATTTCAAAAACGAAGAGCATCATGAGCAAAAACAGAACCTATAAGAGTTTGACACAGATTTTCTGAGTAATGTTCTGCAATCCACTATTTTTTTCAGAAATCTGCAAGCAGTGCAGGAGAAAGTTGGAAGAAGCATCACAGTTATTAGTATTTCCCAGCTCAGAATCGACCACAGAAGCTTTAGGATCTAACGTAGACAAACCGGAAGAGCGGATATCACAAAATATCCCACAAGTAGATAGAGCTATTTGGTATAGCTATGGCATGAACATAACAGATTATAACCTTGTCCGAGTGGCTTTTAATAGTTTAGTGAGGTTCAGCAAAAGGTGAGTTTTCCTCCCCTCCACTTTTGATGACCCCAGCCTCCCTGCATACTACTCCTTTATATCATGTATTGATGCGAGAACACTTACATATCATTGCAGTGGTGATATGTACGCGGTTAAAAAAGTCATTTGCTCTACAGCGGCGACATCGAGTTTATAAATTTTTCTGCGCTAACTAGTTCATTTTCCTTTCTAACGCGTACAGAGAAAAGATGTGGAGATTAAAGGAGTTGAAGACAACGTTAGCCAGTCAATGCACCACCTGACCATAAGAGACGAATACTCTCATCCACAGCTTGACGAATCAGGACACTACTCCGAGATCGACACTAGCGTGTATCAAACGGACTCTCAAGCGAGCAGCGGCAGCGAGAGTTCTAAAGGCGATGATCCACAAATTAGTAGTCAAGCAACAAGACGTTCCTGTTGAACGATTTCTTACGTTCATGTAATGCTCACACAGTCGGGTCACACAAAAAGTGATGGGAGGCAGCCAGCGAACGTACTAGAGCAAGCCATGTGTCAAAGGCGAAGTCAGTTATTGTTTCTGGCCTTAACGTTATTGTTCCAGGAGACGCAGGCTACCTCTGGGAAGCCGTGAAAAAATCTGGCTCAGTCGAGAAGGTACTTGGCATCGGTGAACGACAAGAAGACCGAAAATATCTAAAGGCACTGGCGGAGTCTTACCAAAACGCATCTACTTGGGAAACAAGGCGTCAGATATTATCAATCATGGCAGACCTAATAACGTTTAAGCGTATCCTAAACTACATCCCAGGGATCACCGAATACCGGTTCAAAATGGCGAGACAGCACTCTCTTCAATATGGGCGAGGTGCCTTGCCAGCCCGAACAAAAAGTCCTAGGATGAGAGTAGATAATAAACAGTTGGATCACTTTTTGACTTACATAACTAGCCCGCACGTTATCCAGGATCTTCCTTTTGGGCAGCGATATCTCCGCCTATCTTCTGGAAAGATATTAGAAACCCCAAATGTCATTAGGGCGATGATCCCTAACAGGCTAGTAAAGCAGTACCAGGCTTATTGCGAGGAGACGAATTTCACTCCATTCAGCCCAACAACAATGTTAAGAGTCCTGTCTGCCTGCAGGGCGACCGTAAGGAAGTCCTTGCAAGGGCTCGACTACATTGCTTCGGATCGCGCGAAAGGGTTTGAAGCTTTGTGTGGAATAGTGGACCAACTTAAAGAGAGAGGTCTGGACAGAGAGACTGCCAAAAAATGGGAAGTGTCTCTGAGGGAAGGCAAGCATTATCTGAAGGCTGATTATAAGGTATCAGATACGGTTTAAAACATGGTTAACTGAAAGTAAACCGTAATATATAACGAACTGCCACGAGACTGGCAAAATGGCAAAATCTGTTAACTTTGTCGTGAGGGCTTATTTAAATCAGGTGGGTTCTTTTCCAAACTAATTATACTATTGTTGGGCAAGAGAACACAGCTCTCTATACTGGCGACCGTCTTCGCCTTGCTAGGTGTGTTCTTTATTCTACCAAGATTCATATTTTCTAATTGCTTTAACCAAACTTGGCAAAAATATTGCGGGTACAATAGATGAAAGCTCAGAAACTTCAAACGGTCACTAAATTTACTACTTTATTTACTTGTGTGAAAGTCTCAGTAATGTTCTTTTTTCAATTAAAACATTCTTGACTGAGTCAACGTTTGTACCTGAAGAACTAGAAGACGTCTTGTACACGCATAGTCATGCAGTCCAGGCAATCCACCCCTGGAGAGCATATCAACTCAGGTGTGTCAGGCAAGATACAGCAAGGATGGCGTGCTTAAGCGCTTTAGATGAGACCTCTGTACTCGTAACACAAGATTGGGCTATGAAGTTTTTACGGCTCAAATATAGAGAAAACCAATCAGATTGGTACGGGAAACGAGGAATATCGTGGCATATAAGTGTCATCGCAAGAAAAATGAGAGGGCTTTTAGAAAGTCAGTCCTTCGTCCACATAGTTGAGAATACATCACAAGACAGCTCAGTTGTAGTGCGAATTATTGAGGACACCTTAAGGTCGCTGAAAGAGGAGAATCCTAGAATCAACAGTGCCTTTCTACGGCAAGATAACGCGGGATGTTATCACAGTTCTGCTGTAATAGCATCATGCACCCTAATGAAGGCAAACACTGCGATAGACGTTTGCAGAGTAGATTTCAGTGACCCTCAAGGAGGCAAGGGGGCTTGTGACCGAAAAGCCGCCACTATCAAGGCCCATGTCCGCAGGTATGTAAATGAGGGCCACGACATGCAAGATGCTGAACAGCTTCAAACAGCTATCCTGTCTAATGGCGGTGTCACCGGGGTTCGCGTTACTGTTGTTAATGCTGCCGTTTCTGCCTGTGAACTGCCTCAAGTCAAACTTGATGGTATCAGCACGTTAAACAACTTTGAGTACTGCAAAGACCAGTTGACAGTTTGGAGAGCTTTCAACGTCGGAAATGGAAGGGAGATCAGCCAAACGAAAGTTCAAGGTAAAAAAAAAAATACGGGCATAGTGATATGTAAATGTACTGTATTGGAGTGTTGCAAATACTCACTGACTTAGCCAGCTAATAATTACGGACAACGGGCAATATTAACAGTGTAAGAGAGTCTATACTAATGGCTACTATGGACAACTCAGTCAGTTGTGTACATGATAAATTAACAAACCTTTAAAAGACGCGAAAAACGTTTCATCTAAAATTAAAAAAGACTTCCATTTCAATGTTCGCTTTTTTAGTTGCTGATGTCTTGCAAAGCTGCAAATTTACTTGCTGATTTTCCCCTGGTGACTTTGTAAAAGCATCCAAGGAAGCCTCAAAGAAGCCAAGACCCAATGAAACGATGACAGTAGAAGAAGCGAAAGACGCTTCTGTCTTGTTCTCCTGCCCAAATGAAGGTTGCATCAAGGTATACGAGAGATACTCGAGTCTCGAAAGGCATATGTCGTTTGGCAAATGCAAGTTGATTCCGGAGAAAGAGACTTTGCTGGACAGGGCTAAATTAACGTACCACGCTATCCTTCAGGACGATATTGGCATTGCAAAAGTATTTGAAGGAAGGGAAACGGAGAAGAAGCACGGTGTCAGTTTACCTGAGGGTTGGGCGTTGAAAACTGCAAAGAAGTCGTCACGGTTTAACGAATCACAAAGAAAGTACCTGGAGGAAAAATTTGAGCTTGGACAGCAAACAGGCCACAAACAAAACCCTGAGAAAGTGGCGAGAGATACGCGTTTTGCAAAAAAAGCAGATGGTTCGAGGCTATTCTCGAGTGATGAGTTTCTTACCTCGCAGCAGATACAGTCTTTCTTTTCAAGATTATCGTGCAAGTTGCGTCACGCTGTAGAGGTTAGCGACTCAGATTTACAAGCTTCTCAGGATGAACAAGAGTTTTGCGACACCCGCCAGACTGTGTTAGAGGAAGTACAGCTAGAACATCCCATCGCTTATGACAACCTAAACCTTTGCGAATTGACCAAGAAAGGTAACATGAAAACACTCAGCATTGCAATGCTGAAGAACATATCATATTTTGATATCTGCACGGAAGAATTTAACCCAAGGCGCAAGGCATAGTACCTTGCCGCGTAAGGGGATCTTGTAAAGGGGTGCGGCTGTAACGCCTAAAAGTCAAATTACTGTTAACAGTTTGGATAACAGTTGTCAGGAGGGGCCGCATCTCGTTTTGCGCGATGGTTGGAAAAAAAGTGTCCCACCTAGTTTATTTTAGCTCGTCAGATTCATCACGTATAGAAAAGCTTCAGTTCCAGTTTTTTTTATTTACACGCTGACGTCTTTCTAAGCTTGTACCTACTGGTGACGCTATACTTTTGCGCATTCCTAATTTTGCGCAATCCCACCTCCCCCATCGCTCCGCGGACCGTGTCGTCGGATTTTAAAATCTATAGTTTTCTTCGAAAATAATTGTATTATTACAATTACTACTTCTAAGTAAAGCGATAACTTGACTCGTATTATAATCACTTAAACTGACGATGTTTATACGTAGAATTAACGGGAAGCGTTATGATCGTATAAGACTAAGAGCAGTTGTGAGAGAAACATTGTTAATTTAACGAGCGCTTCCTAAATCTGCGCTCATCTACCCGATGTTATATTTTCCCTTAATTCTTACAGGATTTTGCTGGCAACGAAAGAAAGGAATCGATCCATACAAGTTTTGTTTTAGTTTGTGGGTCCGTAACCGTGGGGTTACTCGACCAATACTAGGGTATATGTGAGCCGCTGAGGATCTAAAATCCTGACCCTGTTTAGGAGAAACAAATTGCAAAATACATGTTTATGATATACCCTGTTTAGAACAGAGAGTTCAAAAATCACCCCTGGGGTCCGTTATTACTGCGCGTCATTTTTACCTTGAGTCCCATGGACCTTACCCAGCACTATTCAGGGTAAGTACGATTATTTAGGAATTATCCTAACACTTAAGTATCTATTATAGAAATATTCCCATGCCTTTTGTCAGTATAGTACAAAACACCCAGTGTTGCTAAAAACATAATGAGACTTGCGGTTCCGGAATACACTTGACTGGGTTTGCTGTGGCGTTTCATGGTCAATTGTTTTTATGCAAATTGTGTTAGCGCCCGAGTTCAATGATCTCTGCGTACTTTTCTAATGAGTGCTGTGCTTTCGATCCAGGAAAAGATCTGTAAGGTAGGAAGTATTTATAAGCAATTGGTGAATTGACTAACCTTGTAGCTGATCACCTATTTGTGTTGTAAGTACAAAGACAATCAATTTCTAATTCACCTGTAAACAAACCGCAAACGCCTGAGCAAACTCATATTTTGACTTTCCAAATTCTCGTTTTTAGGGAATACAGTACCACAAATTGAAAAGACCAGTATCCTTAATTGGTAATATGCTAGAAATGAGGAAATAGGCTTCATGATGCAAGGGAAAATCAGAGCTAAAGAGCTCTGGATTTCTATTTCCACTGATTTGGAACCGTTCCAAGTTCAAAAGGTCGCTCAAAAATGGCCCAGGTAACCCATTTTGAAAACGCTCTCAGGACTCGCCGTTTCATTTACCCCAATTTTTTTTTTCATCGATGTTTAGTTGAAATGATAATGTTTCCTCGTAGTATAGTTTTGTTGGTCAAAGCGATGTACCAGAGCGCTTTTTTAGGCCTTGAATTTAGCCAAAATGCTGTTGTTGTAATCACCATTGAAAGGTGTAAAATTAGAAAATCCGTCAAATTTTCACGTTTACATTTTATTTGCATTTGACGACACCGATAATCTGAGAAAAGACGATAGTTTGATTTGCTTGGATAATCTTTTTATGAAAGGTTTCAAAGTATTAATGGCAGCTTCTGCAAAAGTGCATATTTCGGCGTGATTAAAACCGGCGTTAACGGCCAAAATTTAAAAAATTCACTAAAAAATAAGTAAAATCCCCAAACGACCCGAAAGTTATATTTTCAGAAACAGTTCATCAAGGCCTTCTTTCTGGCAAAGTTTGGGAAAATCGGATTTTTCTATCTTGCATACCCTTAGTCGGTCCTTACAGAAAACCGCTCTTAAAAGGCAAGCCACACCACCCCGAGGTAGCATCCCAAGGTTTTCGTCTCTGAAGGCGTCGACGATACTCTTTTCGACAGGCTTCTCAAAGCCGACCTGTTGAACAATCAACCAAGTCTCCTCCTCACCAACGCTGTCACGAAGTGTCATGGTATAAATGCACTTTTTCGGCTTTATACTTGTAGGGAGGAAATCTTTGTGTTTGGCTTGCTTTCCAACTTGCTTCATGTAATCAGCGAAACGCTGCCTTTTACTCTCATCTTCTTTAGTCATAACAACTTTAACGGAGTAGATATCTGCCAGTTTTTCACTTCTGTCTATCCCTGCAATGCTAATCTTCCTCACATTGTTAACGAACAAAAGAACATCAAACAACTCCATCTTCAGATCTTTCACCATTTTATCGAGTTGCTGCACGGAAACAGGTTTCTTTGATATTTTGGATTCTTCAGCCATTTCCTGGGACTTCAGCGGAAATCGAAACATGGTTGCATTCTTTATGGGAAACAATTCTTCAAGATAACAGGGAAAAACATCTGGAAACTTTTTCTTCAACTTATCGATGTCTTTGTACATTCTTCCAGGTTTTGCATCACTCGCACACGGAACGTACTTGCAGTGAGGGTCAAACACGCAGAAAACATCTCCAATTTCTTCAGCCTTCGACCTGAATGACGGCACATCAGTCAAGTGGTACACAGCATTAAATCCTACTCCATACTGACCAGTCTTGTTTGGATCTTCTCCTTTGCTGCCCTTTCCAAGGTTACAAATTCCCTCAATATCCGCATTGGTAAATGGTCTGTTGTTATATACACAAAGCGCAGGACCTTGCAGAGGCTTCCAGCTGTCTTGGAACACTCTTTTATCAGGATGATGTCTAGGATCTTTGATAAAGAAAATTTCGGTTGCTTGAGCATCATCTGCATTTTGAAGAAGCTCTTTTAAAATTTCTTTCTCACCAGGATAGCCCGTCAAAATCCGTTTCAATCGATTTGTGAGCTCTTCCTTTTGCCCAAAAGGAAACCCAATATCGTGTTGTTGCAAGGCCCCTTCTCGGCGTGTTTTAACTCCCAGTTGTTCACAGGTCGACCAGGGAATTTTTTCATGAATGAACTGTTCCTCTGGATCATCAGGCATCCACGGACAATCCTTGTAGCAAAGGTCAGCTACAGCAAGCATTCTCCCGCCAGAATCAGGAAGATAAATATAATTCGAGCTTTGCTCCTCGGAATACCATTCTTCATTACAATGTTTCGCAGTGTCCCCAAGACCGATAGCCATATTGACTGCCACTTGCAAGGTGTGCTCATCAAGTTGTGTCTCTGCAAACTTTTGGGTTATTTTTTGGAGACTTGAAATGTAATCCTTCGCTTCGAATTGCTTTCTAACACCACTGAATCTCAGGAGCTTGGCGTAAGAATCGGATAAATTTTCTGGAAGTCTATGAAGGTAAGGGGAACATTCGGTTTTAACCTCAAAAGCGACCTCATTTGCGAAGAGAAAGCGCCTTTCAACTAAGATGAACGGTTTCGTAGACAGGAATTCCTCAACGGCAGACGTACAGTTGGTAATATTTTCTTGTAGAAAAGAATAAGCCTCGGCACAAACGCGGCTCACTTCGTCTAATCTTTTACGATCTAGTGTTTCAATTCTAGCGGAAATGGCTTCGCTCAGTTGTTTCATCACGTGCTCTGTAGTAACTCTTTTTTGATGTAACATAAGCAATTCTGTTACCTTCTTGGGGATGTCTAGGTCGACAACTAACTCTGTACAACAAACCATGTATTTGGTGGAAGGAAGAAAGACGTCCTTTGGGGCTGCCAGAAACCTTCGAGATGTTTGATATTCTTCGCTTTTCCAGCGAAGGGGAAATGATTTCGGTCTCTCTAATACTGGGAGAAACTCAGCCTTGACAATGCGAGAAATGACGCCTTCCGAGGGGCCTTTATCTTTCAACTTCAACTTCTTTTGAACGAATTCTATCAAAAACTTAGCACGCTTAACTGCCGCCTTACTGTCCACTGAATTAACTCGTTGGACACTCTCTGCTCTTTCTGCAATATCCTCCCAAGGAAGATCGTGTGAGTTCATTCCAAGTACCTCTAGTTTGGCAAGCACTTGTGGGTTGCGAAATGTACTCTTGTCGCCAAAGGGAAACCTACCATCGACTGGGAAAAACAACGAGGAAGCTTCTTTGTTGGGATTCACTAACTGACTCGGCCGCTTAAGCACCTTTCCATCAGGTGAAGCTGGAATGCAGGCGTTGTTTTTTATCAATTCTTCCAATTCATCGTTGTTTTGATTTAGTGCATATAGCACAAGAACATCCCGCTGGTCGGAAGTAACACTTGAAACGTTTGGAAAGAAAACATCATGGAAAAATCGAAACCTGTCGTATGTTTTACCTTTGATCACATTTAGCAAACCACAGCACTCAAACGACTGGAACACTTCGGGTGGTAAGTCAATCACCACATCATTTCCTTTCGTGAAGTTACGAAACACAGCTAATGAAACTTCTCCAATTTCAGGATCCACGCGAAGGTCTGGATGGAGAAAAACCACTTGAGTAATGTCAACCCATTTTTTCCCATTGGAAAACAGAGCATGAGATCCATAAGCAATTTGCTTGTAAAATGACACTGTAATAGAACGGCATTGTTCGCTTACGTTAAAAGCCCTCGGCCAAAGTGAATGGAAAACATAAGATCCGTCTTCAGGGACAATTTTCTTAAGGTCCTCAAGGAGGCACAGATAAGCAGTAGATATGGAATCAGTCATTAGGACATTATTCCATTCCTCGCCATAGCATGTCTTGTCGTCTTCAAGTTTGCCCTGCAAACGACGCCTGTTAGAATCTACTGCAAATGCACCATTTATGCAAACTGGCAGACCACTGTGAATCGGTAGTGGAAGATAGCAAAAAACCGTGCCATTCTTTGCTGGTGTGGGCAAAAAGGTGTTGCAGTCCAGACTAAATAACTGAGCAGCTACGCCTCCGGACGGAAGAAGACTAGGATCGCTTTCAGAAAACTCCATTGACTCTCCACACCCCATCGAGGATACGATCAACCAGCTCTCTCGTTTTTTTCCAGGGGGCTTCTTTTTTTGAAAAAAGCTACCTCCAAACTTAGTTAAAACGCGTTCTACATCAACGACAATGGATGATTCAGGGAATTCACTTGGTTTGACTCTTCTACTCCTGGAAAGTCTTTTAACCTTGGATGATGCTTGAAGAAAATTAGACTGTATCAACAAATTCTTCTGTTCTGCACTCAGTTTGTGCGAAGTGTCTGGTAGTGCGATAGGGAATGACAATTCTCTCAGTATTCCTCCTTGGGCAAGTGATTTGTTGACCTGAAACATTAGCAACGGTTGTAGATTCTGCCCTGAAGATTTTGGTAAAAAGTACATTCCAACACGGAATACGTTTTGCGTGAAAAGAAGAACCGTGTTTGCTTTCTCGAGAAACATTTCTAACAGTTTCCTCATTTCGTGGTCGTCGTAACACTTGTCTCTGATCTCACTGACTGCTGCTTGTTCTCTTGTCCTCAATGGAAATCTGAACAGCGTACCATTGTACGAGTTGTCTTCTTTGTCAAGGCTCAAATCACAGCCAAATACGCCATTGAATGGTTTGAACTGATTTCTAAAGGTCTTCAAGTTTACGACATCTTTGTTGAGATCAATCTTTATGCCTGGCTTTCTTTTGTTATTGATGGAAGTTCCTAAGTGAGATGTGTTAGGATCAAGTATGACAAAATAGTTCTTACTTACAAACATCGGCACATCTGTGAGGTTGTACACTGCATTGAAGCCAAGTCCGAACCTACCAATCTTCGCGGTGTCATGCACTTTGGTTGCTTCATTAAGTTTTGTGATGTTAACAAAGTCCTCACTTTTGAAAGTTGCATCGTTGTACACCCAGAGGGCAGCACCTTGACATTTTTTCATTCCATCGTCAATGAGACAGGTCATGGCATCCTCGTTGGTTCTTTCATCGTACAGGAATTTAACCTCAGTGGCACCAGCATCATCTGCGTTTTGTACCAGCTCTTTTAGCACTGCAAGGCCATCTTTGTAGTCTTCTAAAAGTCGGTTTAATCGAGTAGTAAGCTTCTCCTCCTGCCCAAACTCTTCTCCGATGGAAAGCTCATCTGGGTCTAACATTCGATGTGTTAACGATGGAACACCCAGACGTACGGCAGTGTTGTTAGGTACATTATGATGCACGTAATAGTATTTTTGCTCTCCGTCTTCGCTTTCACTCTGCATCCATTCTTTTTGGTCAGTATACATGCAGTGCTTGACTGGTTCAAGCCGGACGTACAAGTTGCCATCGACACGGACAGGTAGAAGGATCTCTGTTTGGAGCTCTGGTGATAGTTCATCACTTGCCAGTTCGTTCAAAATATCAACTGATAACTGGAGATCGTGTCGTACTTCCGAGGCGTTAATAACAGGAGAATTTTGACCGTCATACTTTTCTTTAATCAAGCCAAGTACTTTCACTAAAAGAGATGGATCGCTGTTCGTCCTCATGCCAAAAAGGGTGAACAACCGGGAGTGTTTCATCATCTCCGAGGGGAGAAGGCGAATGAAGGGTGTTAAGTCAATTGCTGGCTTACTAAAAAGCACGTGGCGTGGCGAGGAAAAGCCATCTCCATTCCATACCCAGCCGAGATGCCAGTTGCTTAGCACCTCTGTGACCTTAGCATAGTCTGCACAGCTCAAAAACTCATAGATGTCATTTACCAAAACCATGTAGTATGCCTTCTCATCACCCGTGTAACGCCTAACTACATTCTGCAAATGCTTAGCGACGTCCAAGACTTCTGGTTTCTTAAGCCAGCCAAAATGACCAGCAATTTCACTCGACGGCTCAAAGGCGACGACAGGTTTTACAGACCCGATAAGATTGATAACCAGCTGGCTCTTCAGTTCAGGCGGCTTGAAAAAGTGTCTCCCTCCTTCTTCGCCTGTCTCAAACCATGGGAGTGAAGGTGGGAAGTTTGATGTTTTCTGGCTCAAGTTTGGCACCCACTGGATTTTCATCAGTAGCGATCCCAGCTCTTGCCCATGAATTGTGCTCTTAAGCTTTTGCGGATGACGTTCAAGATGTTGCCAAATTGCATGAGACTTCTCTCTTGCTTTCGAAGGGTCTGAAAGCACCATAACGTTATTAGCGCTTCGCAGAAGGTCTTTGGCAGTGACGTCGGATTCGGTTTTCATTCCAACTTCTTCCAAAACATTTAGGACGATGGAGTCCTTGTACAACTGGCCCACGGGAAAAACATCTTCCTTGGCAAATAATTTCCTAAGATTCTCATTTCTGGGATCAAAGACATCCGACCCTTTCACTCGCTTGCCCTGATTTGCCTTTGGCAAAAATGGCAACGCTTGTATATTCCGCTTAAAGTGAGCATCAGAACGAATGACATGTGCAAAATTCGTGAGCACATAGGGCATTAACTTATCAATCTGCCCTCCCTCATACTTGCCGCTTTGGATGTCAGGAAATACTATTTCGCAAAGCACTTCTGTGGGTTTAAGAATCCGGACTTTAAGAAGAATAGCTAAACTCCTAGATTCTTCTCCAGAAATGTCAATGAGTTCTCGGCGTGGTTGAATGGGAAGAGATTCGATAAGCGCTGCTGACAGACCTTCATTTTTGGACACAAACCTTTTGGAGAACGTCTCAAAAATCGGAAGAGAGCACATGAGATTGCTCTCTTTTTTTCCTAGTTGCACTGGTTTGACATTAGCAAGGAATGATCTCAAACTTCGCTTCTCTCCGGGAGAAAGCCCTCTCACGACTTCGGACAACTTTTTAATGGTGAACATGGACGCTAACTTCACTATTGTTTTGAAAATGCCTTGAACATTAGGACGATGCACAAAGGTATCCACGACAGAGGGGTGATCAAGTATAAAGTCCGGACAATCAGTCAAAACAACCCCGCCCATCTTTGTCAAGACATGTATCAGAGTATCATCAATGATATCCTCACCAAGGCTTTTAATTACGACTGTGGAAGGCTGAGCAAGTGGCTTCAAAGTAACAACCGTCTGTTCAATGCTGACTGGAATTAAGGAAAAGTTCTGAAGTCGGTGCAGCCTCTCTCTTGTAGGGAAATGGTCGCGAACGTATCTCCAAATGAGCTCGATCCAGTCTCTTGAGGGATGGTTGTGCTTTTTGTCTTCTGGGTACCACAGAACAGTTTTTCCTTGACTCCAGTCGGAAGGGAGGGATTCTTTAAGAAGAACTACCACTTCGTTCTCGGATAGAAGTCGTAGCTGGGTGCTCTCTATGAAAGTAAATCATCAGCGTAAAGAGGGGGCTCCTGTCGCTGTTAAAATTGTCTACTGTTTTCAGGTACTCCTTTTGAAGTAAGACAGTTTTTAACAAAACATAGCTTCTGAATTATTTGAAGGAAGGATATTAGCAAAGGGATAACTAAGGCCTGTTTCAAACGTCGTGCAGCTGCCGTGCTAAGCTGGCTCGACTGTAGCTCGATCGCAGCAAGACACTAGCACGACTTTGTTTCAGCCGTCGAATTTAATTCAGTCGAATAGAACGGCTGTTGCCGAAAACAAAACACAAAAATAAAGAAACGGTTTGGCAAACTATTTAATGTATTCTAATGTATTTATGATTAATCAACTGAGTTCTGCACAGCGGTAGCACGACGTTTGAAACCAAGTCGAGCTATTACCGTGTAGCACGGCAAAGGTTGCCGTGCTACACGGCAGTAGCACGACTTGGTTTCAAACGTCGCACTACTGCCATGCTAAAGTCGAATTACTTCGATCAATCGAGTTCGGAACGGCAGTAGCAAGAAGTTTGAAACGGGCCTAAGTATTCTTAAATCCTATTCAAAACCAGAAAATAAGTGCCAAGAATTTTGTCAGGCGGGACTGATGACGAGGGCATGAAATTTAGCACTAATGATAAATCGTGAAAAATTTTCCCTCATTAAATGGAAAGGTTATACTTAGGTGTCGCCAACAAAGAAGAGTCTCCAAGCAGTGTTACCTTGTCTGGCTGCGTAATTCAGCTTTTGAAGGATGTCCGAATCCAACTTTTGATCCAAGAAGCGGTGCTCTAGGCCAGGTAGAAGATCTTGAGAATGCTCAAGGGAGCTGATGTAGATTTCGTGGGCAAGGGCTGAAAAGGTGGTAAATGTGCCATTGGAGAGAGGTAAAAGCTGCAGGCCGCAAAGGTCTTCATATTGGTGATCTTGTAAACAGAACTGAAGAAGCTGCAGCTTTTCATGCCTCGTAAGGTTTTTATAACAAGCTGCAGATTTCTTCAATTCTTTTCTCGTGACACCAGCGGTGATATTCTTGGCATCAGCAAAAGACCTGATGGCATCCATCACGTGGCTGGGTACAGAAACAACTGGGACATTTGCTACAATCAAGACACTTTCCAGTAGCTCTTTAAGATGACTTTCAGGTACCTGGTTGAAAATTGCACCTTCAACAAGAAGCCATTGCCCCTGATTGACTTTGCTGTAGACAATTTCCTCGTCAGACAGGATGTCAAACAATGATTCAACAACGCTCTTCCATTTCTGGTTGACTCGTGTGATCTCTGGCCACGCTCTGTAACAAAGCAAATGAGGCGTCATAGTTCAAATGAATGATAAATCAAAGCCGTTGAGGTAATAAGAGCAATGATAAAGGCCAATTCCATTTCTTTTGAGGCAGCATAATGAATGTCGCTTCAATTGCTCTCCTTAAGGCTGGTGTCCATATGATCACTAGGATCGCAGGGAATATATGGCCAAAGCTCTTCGATAATTGTTTAAGATATCTGGACTTTTTTTGACAATTGTAGTGATAATATTAAAATCTTAGCTTACAAGTCCTTAGAGGTCGGGGAGAAATTGCTTTTTTTTCATGTAGAATACAGTTTCATGGATGATGTGCTGACGTCTCATCATGTTTGTCTTTTAAAATGGGTGTTTCCATTTATACGTTACAAACAGAAGAGGCTACTTGGTCTGCAAAAGGAAAGCAATCAGGGGGAATTATGTTCGCAGAATATACTTCCCAGCTTTGCAGTTTCTTACAATTGTCACTTACTGGTAAACGGTCGCTGCTTGCACTTTGAAGCTCTTGTCGTTGATGGCTCCTAAAATCATCGTGGCATAGGCTTGGGGTATGGCCTCCTCTAAAAGACACTTATTCCATTTTAAGGATTTATCAGTTAAAGGGTGACCTTCCTGTTCTGCCGTTGGAAACTTGATATGACCTCTATTCTGAGTCAGGGCGAAAAAGCCATTCACATGAACCGGCAAACCTGTCAGACTGGTCTTTTGCACCGGTAACGGCAAGACACAAGACACGTGACCTTGAATTTGTGGAACGGAATCCTGGGGGCTTGAGGGCAACGCCATGGCAATGCCAACTAAGGGTAAGTAGCTGAGACTTGGATCCACAACTAGCGCTTGAAATTCAGACGATAACTCTCCGCCACAAAGGTAGTTGGTTACAAGGAAGGAATGACTGCATTTGCCTGCTTCTACCCCTTGGCGATATTGTACTGTCTCAATCGTAATTGGATAAGTGACGTGTACTGAGTGGGATAACAGCTGACCGCTAGGGACTGTTTCTTGAAACTCCTTTCTCTTTTCTCGAACCAACTTAAGGCTTTCTTCGGATATTCTGACTTGAAACATTCTTCTGGGTTTGCTTTCTAACTCGTCACGAGCGTACAGTTCAATACTTTCAAGATGTTGCATGAACAGTAGAACCAAGTGGGAATCAGCCATGAAGCCATTGAACAAATCGTTAACCTTTTCGGCAGAATACAAAGTCTCTGATAACTTGGACGGCTCAGTTCGTAGTGGAAAGCGGAAAAGAGTACCCGTGTATGAGCCTCTGGTGAAAATGTCCTCTGGGAAGTCAAATACTCCCCTGTAAGGAGCAAACTGGTCTGGTATGGCGTTCATGATGTCACGGTCATTCCTTATGTCCCAGCTGTTTCCAGTTCGTCTTTCTCCAAAGCATTTCTCGTGTGGATCAATTACGCCGATCTGCGAGGTGCTCATGATGCTTGGTAGATCTGTGGTTAAGTAAGAATGTGATATGAGTATCAACTAGAGATGAAGTATAGTTACTTGAGTTTGCACAACATTAAAAAAGTGAACCTACTTTAATCAGTATTAAACGCTATTGTCATTTGCATTGCATGTGCTACACTTGTACGGTTGAACGGTTCCATTATTTCTAATTCTAGTGAGCTTTCTAATGCTTTTCAAGACCATTTTTCAACAATTGAGCCCCGCCTTGCCAATGAAATTCCACTAAATGATAATAATAATCATGATTTAAGTTATTTCAATAATATAAATGTAAATCAAAACAAGTTCAGTTTTCCTTCTTCAAGCAGTAGTATTGCTTTCTCACATCTAAACAAGTTATGTAGATCCAAAGCAACAGGTCTTGATAATATCTCTACCGATCTGATTTCAATTTCTCTATGTGATCTCTTTAATAAATCTTTGCTCTCTGGTATATTTCCAAACGATTGGAAATGTGCTAGGGTTACTCCGTCGTTTAAGCAAAGGGAGGCATCTGATCTAAATAATTATCGACCTATTTCAGTCATTTCCGTTGTAGCTAAAGTTTTCGAAAGGATTGTTTATGACCACATTGTATAATTTTTTGAGCAATGAAGATATCATTTCTACACATCAATCGGAATTTCGCTCTTTCCTCTCAACTGTAACTGCTCTCCTTTAAGCTGGTAATGTTAATGCTGTGGTTTTTCTCGATTTAAAAAAGGCATTTGACACTGTTGATCATGATATCTTATTATCTAAAATGAACCTTTACGGAATGCAAGGAATTGCTCTCGATTGGTCTAGATCGTAGTTGACAAATCGTACACAACGATGTCTCGTCAATGGTTCCCTTCTATTCCTAGAATCTGTTCACTTAAATGCGGGTTACCTCGGGGAACAATTCTTGGTCCCCTTTTATTTCTTATTTACATCAACGATTTGCCAAACTGCCTAACTTCATGCCAGCCTAGAATGTATGCTGATGACACACACATCACTTATGCAGCTGTTGATGTGAATTCAACACCATTAAATCTGAATCACGATTTAGGCAATCTAAACAAATGGCTTATTTCCAACAAACTTACTTTGAACACTGCTAAAACTGAATTTATGCTAATTGGGTCAAAACAAAAATTGAGTACTTTGTCGAGCCAACCCGAACTCTCGACTGATAATGTTCCGACAGAAAAACCTCTTGGAATATTTGTTGATGAAAATCTACGGTTGCAAACGCACATCGATAAATTAACTAATAAAATCACTTCCGGGATAGGAGCAATTAAAAGGATTAGAGATTTTGTTCCAACGCCTACTCTCCATTGTATATACAACGCTCTCGTTCAATGTCTGTTCGATTATTGTAATATTGTCTGGGGTAATTGTGGAAAAACTTTGTTTGACAGGCTACAGAAGCTTCAGAACCGTGCTGCTCGTGTTCTAACCTTTACTAGATATGATGCTGATTCCAAACGCTTATTTAGACAACTTAAATGGAAAGACTTGAGCACTCAGTTTCAAATACAAAAAGCCCTTATGGTTTACAAGTCTTTAAATGATCTTGTTCCAGGATATTTATCCTCTAAATTTGTTAACGATATGAAACGCGTTTCTCCCTAGGGAACTCTGTTAACAAAATAATAGGCAAGTTCCGAACTCGCCGACGGCCCTGGGACAAGCACGACTGCGAGGCTAATGCGGGTCAACATCTTTACAAAAACAAAAACAAACATGGCCAATTTGCCGCGGAGTCGCTGGAAAATGATAGAAATCTCAAAAAAGTCAGATCTCAAAGCTTAAACTTTACCAGTAAGCCAAAGGGATATCTGTTGCAAACAACAAAATTGTGGGAAAAGCTGATCGTACTTAACAGAAGAAAGAAAAAAGCGACGAAGCCAAAAGAAGAAGTAAACTTGACAAGGGTAAAGTTTGTTAAAATGACAATATTTTATTCCCTTTAATTTTCTTACTTCTTAGTAATCTATCTAACTCTTGTGTACATCTGTAAAATGGAGTTTAAACTGCTCAGTATATCTTTTGTATAAAACTCTGTGTTCAAGTTCTTGTCGAGTGAAAGGTGCGTACGTTTTTCTTGATGTGACTGAATATTTTGATAAATAATGCAAGCTAAATGTAAGCTTATGTATAAATAAACTAATACGGGTTTTAATCATTTTCGTTTAAACCGATTTAATTTTCTTACAGTGCAAGGAATTTATGAAAAAAAGTCTGCTCCGTCGGTTTATTTATTTCAAATACACAAGATTTTGCATTCGCCCCGTCAAAAAAAATGTCAATTAAAAGGAAGGTTTCAGTTTAACTTGCAGGCTTTCGACAAGTACGTACACTTCAATGGAAGGTGCGGCTTAAAAAAGTTTTAACCATCACTTAAAAAAAAAACATTAAAATGTCTTCAGGGTATAACCTTGTTTAAGGATTTTGAAACCATCTTCGCATTCTTATTTAAACTCACTAACCGACCACTATTTTGATCAATTTCTGGTTATGCTCGTTATGTTTCTTAGTGATGGCTCGCTGCTTTTCCTTTTGCTGTTTGAAACAATGATTTCTCAATCCTGTAAGTGAGTTTTGAGACCCACAAAACCTTTTAACGTTTCCAATTTTCCTTTTCTCGCCAACTCAGCCGCAGTTTTCATATGTTTGCTTGTCTTCTCGGTGAGAAGTTAACAGCATTAGCCTCGGTTTCGCGCAAAACAAGGGCTCGTCCCAGGGCCGTCTGGGAATACGAAACTTGCCTATTGTCCCGTTCCCACGAACTAACTTCATGAAGAACAGCTTCAGTTATAGCGGAGCAGTTCTCCGTAACAGCCTGCCCTGTGATATGAGAGAGGTCAATTTAAACGATTGGCTCATCTGAATTGTTGAGTTTTCAAGTACTGCGTACACGACACATTCATGAAAAACAGGTCTTAGTTAGGTTAGTTGTAGACAGTTTTGCATATTGTTTAGGGTAGTTAAGTTTATTAAAAAGTTTTTTTATACTCTTGATGAATTTTACCGTGTTTAAATGAAGAATTATTCTAATATTCTATTTTGTTCTATTCTATTGTCGTGTATTGAAAAAAAGTACCCTTTAAAAAAAAGAAAACAAAAGAAAAGAAAAAAAAATGTTGTTTTTAAGGGCCAGGCTAAATATTCTTATTTTTCTGCCGATTTTAGGTTGAAAATATTCTTGTATTATTGTCAAATTGTAGCTTCTGACTTTGCCATTTTAGAATGTGTTGGTGTATAAATTGAAATTAATGCATGTTTCGTGGTGGCTAGTTTTTCTATTAAAAGAAAGTAATAACTACCCATTTTTCGATCAGTGAACACGTACGTACCTGTAATATGGAAAACCGACTTGAAGCCCAGTCCAAAACGACCCACTTTCATTGGATCCTTGACCTTTTTGCTCTCACACAGCATTCTGATGCCTTCCCAATCACTGGGCTTAAACTCGGCGTTGTTGTAAGCATAAAGTGCTGGCCCCTGTTAAGAATATTGGATTTACAGTTAGATAGCTGATTTAAAAATAGCAACAGTTCTGTAACTGAGAGAACAATAGAGTCGTTCGTTTTGCTGCACCATGTTTTCAAGCAGTCGAAAATAAAAGGCAAACGGAATGATAATTTGCTTGCAAACACGCATTCGCAAGCTAGAGTGAAGACTTCGACTAAATAAATCGCATTTACTCGAAAACTTCATGCATCGAGCTGCTATTTCTTCCCATAACAAAGGTTACTCTTTAAAGGCGCTTCCGGGTAGTCGTGCGTTAAACATTTCTCTTATTTAGACGTGAAATAAGTACATAAACTGCACTCAAAAAGCATTTTTGAATTTTTCTTTTGCCTTATTAGAATTCCCTTATATGACGTCTTTGGCTTTAAATAACGTTGTCAAATAGGGCCAGGGCTCTTATGAAACCGTTACACATTAATACTAATTGATAAATTCTCTTATTTATTAACTGATTTTAAAGTACATTGGTAAGTAGGCAGTAGGCTGACCTGAAACTTAGCAAGTTGGTTACTGTGTAGTTTCTCTTTTCCATAGCTGTGTCGGTCATGCAGAAATTTGACTTGACTTGCACCAGCATCTTCCGCATTTTGAATGAGCTCCTGATACGAATAAACCCAACCAAGTGTTCATTAGATGTTTTTAAATACATTTACAGATGTAGCGGAATTAATTTACGTTACAACAAAAGACTACTTACTTTCGAACCTACCATCACGCGGTTTTGATTTTTTGGAGAAGAGGGGAAAAAACGAACATCTGATACATTTTTTCTTTCACAAGAGACCAACCGCGCCCCCGCTATAAAAAAAAATAACATCTACTCGATCTGTCATCATGACGTGAAAGAGGTTTGCTACCAAATGTTTCACAATTCAACCTCTTTGGGAGAAGGCATGATTGTTATGTTAAGTAACCTTTCATGTCAAGCTGGTGGCTGATGAGTTGAGATTAAAACCTCTTAATAACCTTTGCCTCACCTTCAGAATCTGTCCATCATCTGGGTACTGGTCTAAGATTTTTTTCAACTGCTGAATCAGCGATGGCTGAATCAAATTAAAACCTGAGGAAAAACCTTCATTAGTAACTTATTATATCGGCTTTTTGGCTAGAATAAGTAGAGTTATTAATTACTTGAAATGTTGTTACCACAGGCACCAACTACTTTTCCTATCCTTATCCCTCTTGTCCCAGTTATGACAAAATGCTTATTACACTTACAGCTTTCCAGATTTGAATCTTTGGTTAAGAAAGGCATTGGTCAATTATGAGGACGAGAACAATGATGATGATGGTGATGACCATAAGATGGGATGAGAGATGTTGTAGCTTGGGATGGAGTGCATCGGCATTACGGACAGACAAGGATTACATGGGATGAGAGAGGTTGTAGCTTGGTATGGGGAGCATTGGAATGACGGACAGACAAGGATAAGACGGGATGAGAGAGGTTGTAGCTTGGGATGGGGTGCATTGGCATGACGGACAGACAAAGATCAGACGGGATGAGAGAGGTTGTAGCTTGGGATAGGGTGCATTGGCATGACGGATAGACAAGGATCAGATGGGATGAGAGAGGTTGTAGCTTGGGATGGGGTGCATTGGTATGATGGACAGACAAGGATCAGACAAGGATCAGATGGGATGAGACAGGTTGTAGCTTGGGGTGGGGTGCATTGGCATGATGGACAGACAAGGATCAGACAAGGATCAGATGGGATGAGACAGGTTGTAGCTTGGGATGGGGTGCATTGGTATGATGGACAGACAAGGATCAGATGGGATGAGACAGGTTGTAGCTTGGGGTGGGGTGCATTGGCATGATGGACAGACAAGGATCAGACAAAGATCAGATGGGATGAGAGATGTTGTAGCTTGGGGTGGGGTGCATTGGCATGACAGAGAGACAGACAAGGATCAGACAAGGATCAGATGGGATGAGAGATGTTGTAGCTTGGGGTGGGGTGCATTGGCATGACAGACTAGAATCAGATGGGATGAGAGAGGATGAAAAGGGTTAAGAATAAAAAAGAGAAGCAGGGAATGAAATAGGAGGGGTGATGGGTAGGGATGATATAGAAGGGTATGGAATGGAGTAGACCTCCTTAGGGACGGTTCATTATTTATGGGAATGACAGGGTCGGAAAAAAACCGAACGGGCTTTGAAAATTTTTCTTGCCGTGGCGACGGGCTTTGTGTTTTTTTCTTGAACAAAGAGACCGGGCTTTAAAAAAAAAATGAACATAAACTAAAACTGTGGTAGAAACGCGGCAGTCGTTTGATGAGAACAACACATGGAAACTGTATTCGTCGTTGAAAATTCACCCGGTAAATTGTCGTACTTTCATATCAAATAATTATTGCTACAATATTTTTGGTAATGCAGGGATATACCCGCAAGAAAAAGCTCGCGCTTTGCGATCGAACACTCTAGAATTTTAATTTGACAGGCCACGGAATGACACAAATGTACTTTGTGAGCTGCTCTTTTATAGTTGTTTATATTCCTTGACATTTCAGAGCTTGAAATCAAATTAGAATTTCAAATGATGCATGGACAAGGATTTTAATCAAAGTGAACTCCAACGGTTGGAATATTAAATCTTCGGACTCTGCCAGACTGTACACAAGAAAACAAGATGTTTTGATCGAGGATCTCAAGTTGCAACTCCTAGTGAATTGAAAATATTTTTTCTGCACGCACCACAGTGCCGCGGAGTCTGCCAGCCAAGTTCCGTTTATTTCATGCAAAAATAGGTTTACATTCTTATCTGTCTCGGAAATAAACTTTTATTATTTAAAAACGTGAACAATTTTTGTATCTTGTAAATGTGACAAGCTGTGACATTATAAAGCTGTTCTTTTCATACTTAAAAAACAACTGAGCAGTCCGCATAGTCTTTGATGCCTAACGTCTTGTGTTAATTTTCACTGATCGAACAATGATAAAGCTAATCAGAATCTTCGTCTGAAGCCTGGGAAGCGGAAGTATATCCTTTAAAAGTTTTTACTTTCTCACGCATGATTTCGAGTCGTTCATCTATCTTGACCGCGTCTTCGGCAAAAAAACCTTCCTTCCTTAAAAAAGGAGGGAGTTATAATGCGAACGCGGTTGCAAGTCATTTAATACGAACGGTTACCATATATCCGTGTTCAAAGATATATTTAGGACTTTTTCACTTATTTGGCAAACGATGAAATGCCTCAAGCTGGATGTCATTTGTTAACGTGCACTTTTCACAGATGTTAATAAATTATTGTTTGTAATCGCTGAACTTGTTTGATAGCCGTTTGCTGACTCGAACGGCGAACAGTTGTGTATTTGATCCGAACATGCACTAGTTGCTCTAGTCATAAATAAACATTGAATGATTTTCACAAGGTACTCACTTCAATTTGAACGGGCTTTGAAAAATTTGACCCCAAATACTGAACGGGCTACGAAAAAACAAAATGCCTTTTGGGCGGGCCTTAGAAAAAAAGAGGAAAGCTATTATTTTTTTCCCGACCCGGTCATCCTCAAAAATAATGAACCGTCCCTTAGTCTTATATATTTTGCTTACCCAATAGAGGTCCAAGGGGAACTTGGCCCTTTGTCTTTTCATAAATTATGTGTGGATATATGTATAAATAAGCCAGAATTTGAAAGAAACAGTTCTCTAGAGTATTATCACATGACCTGTATTGGAAAAACAAAGCATACAAGCTAAAGAGGTCAAAAGGATGGGAATAGATAGGAGAAGTAGGATATTGAAGGGGATTTGTAACGTTGTGCTGTTCTTATGAGCCACAATAATGACAAAACAACTGTCAGCTTTGTAGATTTCAATGTGTTTATTTAGACTGAGCAGAGTAGGATGGGATCAAATAAAGTGTAAGATGGAATAGAGTAGAATAGAAGTGGTCCACGAAAATTATGGGTTGGGGTCGGGATAAGAGAGTTTTGGAATACAGCTGGTTTCATAGTTTTCTATACTTAGGTAAGGAAATGTTAGGATAGGTTAGGGTCAGATCAGCAAGGAGTAACATAGTAGCATATTAAAAGGAATAAAAGGGGATGGGTGGGAAGTAGAAGAAAGAAAAGCAAAGAAAATGAAATGAAAGGGATAGGAAAGGATAGGAAATGGAAGGTAGGGAGAGGGAAGGAAATGGAAAGAAATGGAAGGAAGGGAAGAGAAATGGAAGGGGAGGAAAAGAAATGGAACAAAGAAAAGGAAGGAAATGTATGAACAAAGGAAAGAAAAGGAAAAGTAAGGAAAGGAAAAGGAACAAAAGGAAATGGAAGAAAGGGAACAGAAAACATGCATAACAAAGGCGTGAAAGCAAATTAAAACAAAGCAAAGGAACACAAAGGATCAAAAGCAAAAAAGAGAAACGTAAAGTAAAGAAAAATCGATAAAGATAAAACAGATCATTCAAAAAAATAATAACAACCGAAAATTAAGAACATGGAGTGAAAGATTTATCCATCACAATATGTTAAGATTCACCAAGTATCTACAAACTGTGTAAAACTTGTCATAAAAGATATTCTTCATCGGGGTTAATGTGTGCAATGGATTTCATTTATTGTTTGTCTCATGACTGCCCCTCAGATAATGATAGCGACGATTTCGTTAGTATCGGGTTATCGGGTATCGTGGTTGTTGGTGATTGGTGTTTCACGAACTATGCTCATGGCTGGTGGCTTTCGATCTAAGGCATGTAGAAGACTTTATGGACAGATACTGAACAATAATCACTGTACTACTTACTCATTATGCGAGACAAAATCAACCTTCAACTGAGTAAAATCGCTTCATAATTGATCTGAAAGACAGTTGATAAAATAAAGCGTTATTGTTTTGCACGAACAAAGAATAACACATAAATGATAGCCATGAAGGATTTGATCATTAGGCTCGGAAAAAATCGAAATGTATTGTAAATCGCTACAACTAGGTTTTTTAGCTCATATGGAGTTACGTAATACCGGCTCTAACTTGGTTTTGGAGTGTGTGCAGGAATTGTTAGTTGGACGCCTACTCGACAGTTGAGCGGTGGTGTTAATATTTATTAGTTTTTGGTATTAAACAACGTTTTTGCCAGAGTAGAGAGAAAGTTGAAAACGTATGATACTGCCAACATTTTCATGTGGAAACAATGTTGGAATCAGCATTCAAGAGCCAGCATGATAATATTAGGGCCATTTATACGAGGAAAAATAAGACGCGTCTTAAATAATACGCGAACTGTACCATTTATACGAGCATGTCTTATCTAATACGCGTCTTAGCTAAGCCGCGTCTTATTTTAGACGAAGTGTATCGTTTATACGGAAAGTTCGCGTCTTACTTAAGACGCGTCTTATTTTTCCTCGTATAAATGGCCGTAATTGTTAGCCATGTTGTGTTTCAAAATTTATCAGCAAAAATTCCAGCGTGCCACATTAACATTGGCCTAAAGTTCCAAACGCAACCAAAAGAATAGCGCCGTCACTGAATTTTAATACGATGCTCCCGAAGGAATTAGATTCACGTACAAAATTAAAAAGAAAGAAAAAACAATAATAACCAGCTGCCATTTCTTGCACTGATGTCGGCACGGAAGTTAGTTGAGCGACGAGGTATTTTGCTATTTCAAAAATCGCTTAATCAAGACATTAATTTTTCGTACCTACATGAATTCGAAATAACTGGGGATAAGATGTTGATGAAGACCGAGACTACATCTGCATGAATTGTTCGGCAAACTGCAAACCACGCCGGCTCTGAGAGTCCGTTCCGGTCCCGCTCAAGTTCTCGGGAAACGAATCACTGAAAAAGTGACAAGTTATCATAAATTTTACTCCTTTTTTAAGCGTCACAATGACAATACAACCTTACCTTTGCGGTCCGTTACTAAGAACAATACTTTCCCTGGTTATATCAATGTAAAACTCGCAAAGTTCTTCAAGAATGAGTCCATAATATTAAAGAACCTTTTCCGAGAAACTCAAGAATCACGCGATGTCACATGACCAAAGACGATTTCTTGGAAAACCCACAATTCCCATCATCCTTTTAGCTACAACTTGAGCGTTCGAAAGTTCTAGCTTCTTATCCTCCCGCTTTTTCAAAATATTGTTTATTTATTTTGCCATCTCAGTTTTCATTACGATTAACAAAATTTGGATATCAAAGGTCGAGCTTTACCCTCGCGAATTAGCGTTTGCTATTGGCAGCTAAAGCTATCACAGATTGTTAAGCAATGAATAACAAATTTTAATAAGAAGTAAAAACAAAAACGCTTAGACCTTGTTTAAAATACACCAGATATGGTCAGATATAACTATATTATTTTTACCTTTACCTTCAATCGAATCAGTTACTTTCCGTCATAACCAACGAAAGAAGTAAACCCAAGACTTGCCTAAAAACAAAAACAAACACTCGACGGTTTCCAAGAAACGTTAAAAATTTCCAGCAAGCTCTTTTGCAGTTCCACGACAATAGCTTTCCGAGAAACCAGACGGATTGACGTAATTATGCAAATAAGGCAGTACGGGAGGCCGCATTGATTTCACCAGTCTGCCTTAATATAGGCGCATCTTGGCTTCATTACATTTCCTTTTACATGTATATGTATTAAGAAACCTATACGTAAAAACGAACGCCTTATATTTCAATGACATTTGCAGTTTGTTCGATATACGTGAAAGTAACCGAACTTGTTTTAGGTGCCGTGTTTTTAGAGACCGGAATTATCAACACAAATCATACAGTCTTTACGAAGATTTCTTTTTGTTGTGGAGGATGATTCAATTTTAGCATCTGGAATATATTAATCTGAGAGGTAGCAATTACCTAACAAGGATATTACATCCTTTCTATTCTGACTTAAATCTAACTTAAGCCTTCTTGACAAAATTACCATTCACAACCGTTTTTAATTTAAGGGTGTCAAAAATTAGAGTGATCACTATAGAAGAAAATACAATACAAAACCACTGTTCAAATAATAACGGTTTATTATAAAAAATAAATATTGATTATGTGGCGCACTATACAAAATTATTCGCCACCTAGCTGGGTGCTGAGTTCTGTCTAAACTGTCTGAGGCCTTGAAGAAAAATCTTTTTTGTTTGATCCATCATCTCCTGGTAAAATTTCAAGTCCTCTTCCTTCGCTTTCAAAGTGGAGTTGAGAGCTTCCTTTAGTGCGTCGTTTTCGTCTGTTTGAATGGCGAGTCTGGTGAAGATATTAGAAAACGTATTATTTATTCATGAAGAATTATTTATTAGTGAAGAAAATGAAAAGAGGTTAGTCTCTGAGATTGCATTTTAAATTTGATGAGCGAAGGCTGAAGAGCTGTGAGATGTGGCTTTGGGGAAAGGTCTTAAATATTACTTGGTCTGACAAAGTCTGTAACGAAGAAGTATAGGCGGATTCATCGTGACATCTTTGCTTATTAGCATACGAGTTAACCCATAGAAGAGGTACTCGTATACTGTATACCAATTAGGTTCAAAAATTAAAAAAGCTGGTTAATTTATGGAGTTTGTGCAAGTTTCAGCTCTTTGCAATCAGCAACAAAAAAATAGCAGCCATTAAAAACTGCAAAAACTACTGGGTGGCAAAACGTTAATGAGCTCATACATTCTTTGAGAATTTTGGTTTTTTCAAAGAAAATTTCTCCAAAATATTTGGTATATCGGGCTCAAATTTTCCGAGATAACTGAAATTGTTATGCTCTTTCAATATTCAGAAATTTCATTTTATTAGCTTCATCCGATAATGATAAGCCTATGCTAATGAGACAAAAATGTAAACAAGGATTCGTCTATTGAGGCGTGTCGGTGAGGAGAGGGTCAACATATCTGTTATCAACAGAAGACAGAGAGTCTGACTTGGTCATACCCCACGGCATGGCGATCTTGTCCCATTAGTAATTGAGGGAAGAATAATAGGAAAGAGACCACCTGGAAGACCTCAAGTGGGAAAGCTGGATAGAGTAAAGGATGGCAGCCCTTGAGTAGCGGTCAAGAGGCGCGCCTTAGATCGAGAACTATAAGGAAGGACCTGCCTGTGGGCAGAATACACACATACGGATAGGATACTTTTATTTTTTGTGTAAAAGTCTCTGATAACAATAGCCTGAGTAGTAAGCGTTTCCGAGCGGGTTCGTTGAGAAAGTTAGGACGAGAACAAATAAAGAGGGATAAAGTGGGAGGGGAGAAAAAGTTATGGTTATGTTCCCCCCTCTTCTTCCTTTTTTTTTGTGCTCACGCTCCAACTTTCGCTCGCTACGTAGTCTTTGATAAAGATATTTCGGTGAAAACGACGAACTATTCCGCACTGAAGGAGACACTGCTTAAAACCAAGATAACTTTTGACAAAACAGAACAGAATTTAGAAATGGCATATTCTCTAGCGCACAGAGACGGACGATTATGATAAAAATGAAAAAAGTGCCGATAGTGTCGAGTTTTTCTCTTGTGTTGGTGCCACTTCACTGCACCTAATTCTTGCTTTAAAAAGCTCGCGTGATCAAAAAACAGACTTACAAGTCTTGCATAGAAGTTATTAAAGGTTTCACTTCTGTTTACCTGGTTGACAGCTCTTCCAAGTCTTCCACCTTTGCTTGTCGGTCTTGTACTGTACCTCCTGTTCCGTACCCCTTCCCTTTCCCCTTAACCACGCCCTGTCCTGACTGCACTCTACTCAGCTGTTTCTCCAAGTGAGCCACTTGACGTCTTTCTTGCTGCCACTTGTTGCTCGCTTCCAACTCCATGTTTTTAGCCTCATCAACTCTACGAAATAACATCGTACGGAAAGCACGTTAGAAGGTCAAATCTTACGTGGGTAAAGGTGGAAGCTTCTTCCCTAGTCATAAATGGGCCCGCTCCCGTGGATCGAGCCCACGACCTCGCATTCTTTAGATTTGAGGACGAAAGCGAGTACGAGATTTAACCTAAAGGTTTTGTACGTGTTCTTAAAAAAAGACACCCCAGAAAGCTTCATTTAACTTTTTTTTTTCATCGAAAAAGTCAATATGGTTATTTATACTGAAAGAGGTGAAGCCCTCTCTGACATGAGAGCAGTACTAAGTATCGAGAAAATCTCGTACTCGTAGTCGCCCTCGAATCTAAAGCTCTCTCGCCGCTTTTTTTTTCCTCTTTGCAGATCAAAGGTGATAACTGATCAAAACCTGATGAGTTCCCCACTTCACACACAGTAAGAGGAATGGCTACAAACTTTACGCGCAACGATTTTTGGGATCATTTGGGTGGACAAGCGTTAGTTATGATTGGTCGATGGTATTCAAGGCAACCATTAACCAATCATAACCAACGCTTGTTAACTGTTGAGTCGAAAGCTTGTACCCATGTCTCTTATAGTATCTGGAATGGTGAATGACTAATTCTTTCAAGTTCAGCTTGGTTGACTGGGTCAACCTCTTCCTCAAAGTCCTCTCGTTTTCCAATATGGTGGTGGCAGGAGTTTATTCTGAGACTGCGCTTGAGACTATGTCGGTGTTCTATCGAATTGCACCATGACACTGTTTTAGGGGACGAAGTTGGCCCCATTTTTCCTATGCAACTTCGCAATAGCTAACGAAAGAAGTGATCGCGTCCCAAAAGCAGTCTCATTGTGAAATTCGACACAAGACCCATGCACAAGCAGAAATCTAAACTGGCCATTAAAGCGTAGCTGTCTCGCCCTTTTCCCAACAGGCAGCCTGTTAACATTATTGTCAGCCGCAAACAAATATACAAACACCAGCGCACCAGACGATTTACTATGGAGATCTTACCTTTTCTGTAGAAGCGACACTAGTTCTAACAGCCGATCTCTCTCAACTTCAGCTGCCTGGCATAAAGACTTACTCTCCTGTACTTGGGATCTTAACAACTGAACTTCGTCGCTGTTAACAAATGAAAAAAACAAAAAACCAGTCCATGGTTTTACACTAAAGCCGTGTGTCTTGATAGCCTGATTACGTTTGTCTTAGCAGAGAACTCTTCCATTAGTCTATTTTTTCCAGCGAACAAACATCAACACTCCTGGAGAGAGCCTCTTAAAGTCAGTAAAGTTGCCAAGATTTATAGTGATATATAGAAATAGTGAAATGTAAAACTAGGAAAGATATGGTTCAGCAAATTCGCAAAATTTTCACAATACAGAGACTTTTGTATGGAAACGGGATGAGGGGCAGAGGGGGAGCTAGTGACAGGTGGAGGGGTCTCGGGCTAGTGACAGGTCTGGCTGCAACGCAGGCAAATCTTTTCTTGTTTAGCCAGGGTGGCAGGCGTCAAAGGGGAGAAAAAGAGAGGGAAAAGGAAGGAGGGATTAGTCGGTCAAATTCACCATATCCACACGCGATTTTCTTTTGGCAAATTCTCCACCACGAGGAATAACATTCATACGTACCTGCCTCCTGCACTATTCCTGCGACCTCTGCTTCCACGACCACCACTGGGTGGTGTAGGAGGGAGCTGGTATCCCTGTGCAGATCTCCTCCCCGATGTACCTTGCACACTTCCCCTGGACATCACATGCCGCCTGGCCGGACTACCTGGCACGGATCCAACTTGGTTTCTACTTGGTCCTTCAGGGGGCACATATTTCCTTGACGATATGAAACCATTGTTTTGAGCCCCTAAGTCCTCAGAACCCTGTGGGTAAGGTCCCTTAAGCAATGGACCTTCTACAGAACTATTAACAAAACCGTAACCTGGCACAGTTCTTGCACCTTGAGTATTAACACCAGTAAAACTGTAACTAGGTCCATTCTGTTCTACTCTTTCCTCGTTCGTTGGTAAATCTTCAGTGCAGCAAGCCACAGATTTAGTCTCGCGCTCAGATAATTCTTTGTATTTTTCTGTAGTGTTTTTAAGTTCAAGCCTTGCGTGACCCAGTTCTTTCTCCAACTGCTGTATTCGTAGGTCCCTTTCTTGGCACACTTGCTTTAGATGTTCCATCTGCGCCTTGTCCTGGGACGTTCCCTTAGGGGGTGGCGGTGGGGTGGTTGCCTTTCTGCTAGCAGCCTGATTTTTAAGTTGTTGTTGCTCTCTCTGGAAGAAATGTCACAAGACTTTATAAATAGTGAGCTTACGCAACGACGACGACCACCACGTCAAAACAGAATTGGTTTTATGAGGAAAACAACAGCGACGCTTTTTAGTACATTTCTTTGACGTCCACTGCACTACTTCGACGTGAAACGTCCTAATGCGACGTTTTATTGAGGTGGTAATCTTAGAAAGACGAAGCGGAAGGGGGGCTTATTTTTCCGGGAAGGGGTTTAGTCGGATGTATTTTGTTTTGTTTTGTTTACAGGTGCATGAAGATGAGTCTATAACTGAAGGGCTAAAGTTTGTGTGGGGGGGAGGGGGGAGGGGAAGAGGGAATAGAAGCGTGGGGGCTTATAAGCAGCAGCAGTTTATGGTATCCTCACCATGAGTGCAGCAATGAGCTCATCGTCATGAGCGCCTTTTTCCAATAGCGTCTGTACTTGAGCCTTCAGCCCCTTCAATTCACTGGCCAGCACCTTGTTGCGTGCCTTGGCGGCGTCGTGTTTTTGTTGTAGTTTGGTGTGTTCTCGATCCAGGTTCTCGAACTCCGCTTGTGTTTTCTAACGAAAACAATAAACAACAGAAAGTTAGTCACTAAGACAATAATCACGTTAAGCACGTTACTAAAAGAAAGACTTCAAATTCAACGCTGACACTAGCAAAAAATAGTTCCAAAGTAAAGGATTTTATGTCTAATTGGACATCTTTTTAGCAGATGGCAGTTTATCATGTTACATTTGCTTTTTCTGACTTGCAGAGTCTCCAGTTACAGTAACGTTTACAGGTTCATGGATATATATCCAGATGTTAATGTGCGCAAGAGCAAGGACAAGCACAGCCAGTTAGTGTACAGCGACCTTCTGTGAGGGAGATACTGAGCACGATGTTCCGTGTAGCTTTAGTACCTTTAATACTCGTAAAACGGAGCTCTATTGGAGAGAAGGAGGTAAAATGAGAGCACCGTCGGCCTCGTGTTTGTACTTATAAGTACTGTTGCCAGTTTAGGTACTGTTAGTGTTCATGGTAGTTTAGGGGTAGAACACCTGGCCCCAGCAGAACAAAGGGTGGTAAATCTCTGTTTAGAGGATAAGTGCAATTGGTTTCCCTAATTCTTATCCACTGGATAGTGATTTATAGGGTGGATTATACTATCCAGCCTTTGAACAACTGGGGTATGGAGTTAAATTACCCACTTTGCCCATAAAATATACACACAATGGCGTGTAAAAGCAAAGAAATTTCGCTAGTTGTTCAACAGTCCTACTGCATGCAAGCATCAATGTATCAAATCTAGGAACTACTGTTTAGAACTAAATCCTGTTCAAGTCTTGGGTTATTTGTGCTTTGCCTCAAACTACATCTACGCGTGGTCTGGCCCCAGTTGTTCAAAAGCTGGATAGCGCTATCCACCGGATCAATAAATCACTATCCATTGGATAAGTATTAAAAAAACTAATTGAGCTATAGATCTATCCGGTGGATAACGCCATCCACCTTTTAAACCGGCTTGGGCCTGAAGTAAATTCACGTGTTACTGATTGGTGAAGTGCTCTTTCTATAATTGTGCAAGCTAGCAGTGACAGTCATGCTTCGACACCTCTGCTTTCGAAACATGGCCCTGTAACCACAATACAGCCATTTATCAACCACGCTAAAGAAAGTCACTTATCAGTGACAGTAGTCGAACGTGTAGCGGAACCGATACAAATATTTCGATCAACGTGAAGGAAGTTAAAGGAGCTGTGTCATGAATTTTATCAAAAATTCTAACAGTAGGAACTGCCACCAAACTGAGTGAAACACAAAAATAACCGCTCAAAACATTAAAAGAAGGTATAAATAACACAGAAAATACAAAAGGAGGCGCGGGTGGACAAACTTGAGGAAGATAAAAACGGATTGCACACAGTAATTTTCAAGGAGTTATAATAACTCCTCTAGTGGGGCTAATTTAACTCCTCACAGTGGAGTTATTTTTTGGGGAGTTATTTTAACTCCAAAAAGGAGTTTAAAGAACTCTTTTTCAGGAGTAAAAGTGACCCCAGATATTGAGGAGTTAAAATAACCCCCCAAAAGGAGTTAATCCTCAACCTAAAAGTTTTACCCCACTTTCAGAGTTAAATTAACTCCAAAAAGAGTAGAAACAACCCATGTAAGGGGTAAAAATAACCCCATTTCGGAGTGATTTTATCTCCAGACTGGGAGTAAAAAGAACTCTTTTTCAGGAGTAAAATGACCCCAAATTCGGAGTTAAATTAGGAGTCAAAGTAACACCCAAAAAGGGGTTATCCTGTACCTAAAATTTTCACTCCATTTTTGGAGTTATAATAACTCCCTAAAAATTACGGTGCATATATTGTTGATTTTTTAAAACTTGTTAGCCTAATAGTTTTTCAAAGTTCACTTTTGTAGTTTTTAACGTGTTATAATATTCTCGGGAGGTAAATTTGTTGGAAAAGAAGCTGTGCATTTGTCATATACAATTAACCTCTTTGCTAACGTTAAGTTTCATGGCGTATAAGGAAGCGTAATTAGCAATATTAACTAAGCCAACTGTACAGCGGTAACACCGAGCCGCTTTAAATCGTTCACAATAGGGACTTTAAGATCCAACGACGCGACGGCAACGAGAACGTCGTTTAAAAAACAAATTTTCGTTCTTTTGGTCTTTCCAGCGATTATTCCTACCCAATTACTTTGTCAAATGTAGGCGAACTCTCCTAAAGTTGAATTTCAACAGAAGTGACCATATTCAAGCTCAGGAAGAGAAATTAAATTTCGTCGTTGCTTGTTTACGTCCTCGTTAAAACGCGAAATTAGGCATTTTCACGTCGAAGTCGTGCAAAAACAGGAAAGAAATGTACAAGAAAGCGTGATGTACGTGCAAAGTTGTGGTTTTGCTTATTAAACATTTCGTTTTTTTGTCGTTCTTGTTGCCGTCCGCGTCGTTAGATCTTGTAGTCCCTGACATTGTCTTCTCACCTCCTGCGCTTCCTTGCGATCCTTTTCAATTTTCTTCAGTACCGAGCGATGTTTTTCATCATACTGGGACGGCGCTGATGAGGGTGACATCATCGCTGACCTCAAGAGAATGTTGTTAGATGTGGCTGAACTGCTTCGAGCAACCTGTCCTAACTGGCTTTTTAGCTCTGTTACCTACAATCAGGAACGAAAGTAGTTGACATACTTGCCTGAAACGCGTGCTTTCATCAACAATTTCATTTTTTTGTTTTTTCGTTCTGTTAAACGCCGTAAATCCCCTCAACCCCGAATCAACGTTGTTTGTAGTAAAAGAAAGACTTGAGGGTCAAAACTAAAACATTGATTTAGGGGGCGGGATAGGTATGTCCACCATGCAAAAAAGGGGCCATTTTAAAGAAGTGTCTCAACATTTTTGTCCCTCATTGGAACAATTTAAGAAGTAAGAATTATTGAAATAGACGGAAGGATTTCAAAACTTATAACTGAAATTTAAAAGTACATCAGTGGTTCAGTACGAAACAGCAAGTACATCAAGTAATAGTCCATTTAAGAAACCAATGATCATATGGATCTTACAAAATGAGGAAATTAAAGGTTAAAGACAGGCGGCGACAGCAAAAATGTCACAAAAAAAGAAAAAATGTGTCCAAATTCTCCTGGGCGTGAATTATTAAGACCGTGACCAAGTTGTTCCTTGTGTTTAGCCACAAAATGTAATACCGTAAAGCATTTTCAAGATCCGTGCAGTGACGGCAAAGAATCGAAAAGTCAGAACTGGCCGGCCGGACCATGGTTTCAATCCAGAATAGGCATGTTTTTTTTTCTCTGAAATGGGCTTTTTCCAAGAGGTTTTGACTTGGAAAAATCCATTCCCTTTGAAAAACGAAATATTTAGGATTTGACAGATCTGGATGGTTAGTTTTGATTAAAAATGAAATTCTCATTACGATGGCAATGGGCTGGCCAGTCAGTTCTGACAAATGGAAAGCTCCCTAAGACGAGGACGACTACGAGTCATTTTGGCGGGAAAACGTGATAGCCGTCGTCATTCTACTACGAGTTTTTAGCAAGAATGTCGTAGTAGCGGGAACAAGTTATCAAATGTAAGAAGTCTTATCATTTTGCCATCGGGAGAGGGCTTAACCTCCTTCAGTATAAATAACCGTATTAACTTTTTTGGTGAAAAAGAAAATAAAATGAAGTTTTTTTTAGAACACGCACAGAAACTTTAGTTAAATCTCGTCCTCGTCCTCAAATCTAAAGCTCTCTGATACACGTAGCTTACCGGTGAGTAATTCCTAATGCCCAAAGCAAGCTTCACTGAACCAGCTATTTAGCTACATGTACAGAAGCTGTGGTCTAGAGGCATTTAATCATTTCACGGCTTATACCTTATTCTGCAAAGATGTGATCTGCTGTTGTCTTCCTCTCCAGCCACTTGAATCATTTAACAATGAAGTAATGTTGAATCCATCTCCAACTTCCTTTGCCAGTACCTAAAAATAAAATCAATTTAAGCCACTTGCCCGGGGTGGTTACTGGCAATTGAGATGTGAATGGGTCAATCAAAAGTGCCGTTTTAATGCCCAAAAACGGATGCCCCTCAAAAATGTTCTACAGAAAAAGTGAGTTGAAACGGAATACGGTAAAAAAAGGCAAAGACAGACCGTTTTTGGGTGAGGTTTTCGTTTCCCTTTTAATATACCTTGACGCCACCAGGTTCGTATCGCCAACAGTCATGTAAGTGACGATTTTCCCGAATAATTGGGCAAAAACACGGCGTAAGAATCAATGCAAGAAGTCCACTCCCGGTTAACTTCCGCCAGTAAAAAATGTCCAGCCACTTGAATCATTCAACAGTGAAGTAATGTTGAATCCATCTCCAACTTCCTTTGCAAGTACCTAAAAATAAAATCAATTTAAGCCGGTGTGGTTAGTGGCAATTGATATGTGAATAGGTCAACCATAGGTGCTGTTTAATGCCCAAAAACGGATGCCCCTCAAAATGTTATAAAGGAAAAGTGAGTTGAAACGGAATAAGGTAAATAAAGGTAAAGACAGACCGTTTTTGAGTGAGGTTTTTCAGTTCCCTTTTAACATACTTTGACGCTACCAGATTTGTATCGCCAAGCGTCTTTTAAGAGCTGATTTTCCCGAATAATTGGGCAAAAACACGGCATAAGAATCAAAGCAAGAAGTCCACTCCCGGTTAACGTCCACCAGTAAAAAATGTCTTAGCTTTAACAGTACTCCTCCCCAGCAGCGAGGCTAATTGGTTCCAGGGTAACAGCCCGTAGTATAATTAGCAATTATTGAATGAGGCTGAGTAAGATGTGAAGAATTATGCAGATCGAATATCGTCCACTCTTTAGTCTAGCTCCGAATGATCCGATTTTGTCCATGTTGTTGACAAACACTACGTTTGGCTGCCTGAGTAAAAACAAGGTCTGCATCTCCTATTCCTCTTAAACAGCTGATTGGGTTCTTATCTAAGGAAACGACACGATGGCAAGGCTTAAACACGGGTCGCCAGAAAAGCGTGAAGCCAGATACTGCGGCCCGTAACAGTCCCCTTCACCCATGAGAGATACATGTAGAAACATCACCAGGGTCTACATTCCCCAGTCTTTTTTTAAAGCTGATAGGGTTCTTATCTAAGCAAACGACACGATGGTAAGGCTTGAACACGAGCCGCCAGAAAAGCATGAAGCCAGATACTGCGGCCCGTAACAGTCCCCTTCACCCATGAGAAATAGACCAAATCACCAAGGACTGCATCTCCTGGTCTTCCCAGGTTCTTATCTAAGGAAATGACACGACGGCAAGGCTTCAACACAGGCCGCCAAATCAGAACCGGCTTGAGGTGACAACTGTGCGGCCACCATACCTAACACTGCAATAAGATATAAATTGCCGTGACATGTTTTAACAATACCTTGTGTGCAACTTTTAAGTCTTTCTTAAGCTTCTCACACTGATTTCTAAACTCTGCCAATTTATTGTTTGATTGACTCAGTTTATCTTGCAGGGCAGTGACTTCAGAGCTGTCCTGAAAAAAAAAAAATCAACATCTTCATTTGGTTGCTTTCTCCTGAACACCTTATAAAAATAATGTGCACAAGGATATAGGCTAACTAAAGAAAACTTAAGCAGGCTTATAAATTAGTGAAGCCGGGTATTAAACTTACTGCATCTTCAAAGTTACCGCGTTAGGACAAGTTCAGTCAGTGGAGCGCTTGACTGCAAAACGTGAAGTCGCGGGTTCGATTCCCGGGACCAGACCAATGTGTTCGACACGCAGACCATGCGGCCACACTGCCTCCTCCTATGATCTATTTGCTTGTCTTGAAAGGTGTGTTTATACTCTACTGTTTCACTTCAACGCTCCACATGGAATGCTTTCAAGGCACAGCAAAATCACTCACACTTCTAGCTATTTAACTACCATGATTGTTTAGTGCAACAATCCATTATTATTATAAGGGACATAAGTATTATGAACCAATTAACAATAAGTATTACCCTGTCTGTATCTGATTTTGACTTCTGCTCAGCAACAGCCTGTTTTGTGTTACCTGAAGACATCAACTGAAGACGCAAACAATAGCAGTTGTAATATTATTAATTTTGTTTGATGCTTAATACATGTATAATAAGTATGTGTAATCAAATGGTGACAAGTGGAACAAGGGAATAATTTCATCCGCGTTTTGTCCAAAATTTATTTCCGAAGCCTCCGAGCCTTTAGGCAGGGGAGGGAAATAATCAAATTATTACGACTTGAACACAACGCAGGTGAAATTATTCGCCAATTTCACGAGTATACCATTTGATTACCTATTATTAAATATCATGGGTGACGAATTACGTTCGCAATCGTGGATTGTTGACATGTTTATCCTCGATCGTATCGATCGAGAACTCCACTCTCTCAGAAGTTTTATAGAGCTTAAATTTGGCTTAAGTTCAGATTTTTCAGAATTTGTGAGAAAACAACTGTTAGAATGCTCCTTGATTTGCTCTTTCGTGTGTTTAGGTTTTCTAGAGCATGCATAGTTTTAAAACTTCGTCGTACTCTAACGATGAAATTTCGCGCCAAAATTAAGGAGTAATACGTCAGCTATGATATCAAGACTAGAAACTCAACCACACTCTATTACGAATATTAAATAAATTTCATACAACGTACATGGATAATATTTTAACCCACGAGAGTGCTACATGTACATTACATGTACACAATCTACAGGAAAGATTACATATACGTGAACACTGTTATAAGGCCCTGTTTATAATTAAAAAGAAAAGTTCTCAGAAAAGAGGGTCATCCTCCCAGCCAGGTCAACTTTTACTTGAGAAAAGCTTGAGAAGAAGTCAACTCCTTTGCCTGAGCCAACAGCACTCATGCATGATCTGATCGTCTTGTGCCCTGAAAGAGTTGACCCAGCTGGGGTATGGAGAAAAGTTGGCCTGACTAGAAGGGTGACCCTACAGGCTGTACCATCTAAAGAGGGTGACCTGAGCCATAGTTATTAGAGGAGACTGGTTATGAAAGAAAACAAACATCAAATATAAAAACACCGGTCACGGTGCTGCAGTTCTATGTTGGAAGCTCCCTAAAGGTGCACAATCCTTTGTTTTCTGTTGGCAAATTGTGAGGGAATAAATTAATGGGACGTGTTTATTGACTAATAAGATCAAAGTGTTAGGAATGCTATTGAACGTTGTGCACTGTCAGGTCCAGAAAAACATATAACAGAGGAGTCTGACAGGTTTCATAACCATTCCAATCTATTAACTACGCCTGAGCTAAGCCAACTTTTTGTTTGTCATGTAGAGGTTCCACTAAGTTTTGTAAGGAAATTTCAGGAAAAATTGGCTGCTACAGGGTAGAAAAGGTAGGCGACTGATCCTTCCCTCTACCCAGGAAAGGTTTTCTCCACATGCAACGTACATGTGAAAGGGGCCTGAAGCGGGTTTAACGTCATTGTTGGTACCTCTCTCTCCATGTAACTTGCTTTCTTTGTCAGTTGACGCACTTTATTCCGCTCACTCTCCAGGTCTGCTGATAGTTCCCTATTTTTCTTGGACAGTTCCATGATCCTACCAGCAGCGGTATCAGCAGCCACCCCAGTGCCTATACAATCATAAAAGTAAAAAATATAAACTCATGTACACTATTATAGCAACATACTGTAACAATCAAACAACAGTGTGATGTAAATTGTTAAAATGCACAGCTCTCTAAACAAAATTTGTGAATTCAAATTATAGGATAGGGTATGGTATTTCCGGAAAAAACAAGACGAAAAATGCAATTTGTGGGGAGACATAAACACTGTTATTATCCAATGACTCCAAATACATGGTAAATTTTTCTACTGTAAAAATAAGCCTGGATCATTAAGTTTGTTACGATCCAAACCAATTTTAGAAGGATTTCCCTGGATTCATTAGGAGCATTATGGTGCTTATATCTCCCCACCAATTTACACCAACAGGCTCATTTTTGGCGAAGGGGCTTTTTTATCTTGTTCTTTCTGAATATGCCAACCATGCCCTGTAGCCTTTTTGAGTTATTATGCCCTACATTTCACAAAATTAATTATATAAAACAGCCTCTAACATTGTTAAAAGTTTGGCAATATTTTGGCTCAATTCAAAGTTTTGCAGGTAGAAAAAGTTTAGGGCTGCTGTACCCATTTTGTATCATGAATTGTGTTGTAGCCCTCGTATCAAAATCTGTACCATTTATCATGGGAAAAATTTAATGTATTGTAATTTCAGGGATTTTACTAAGATTTCAAGTTGCCAGTAAACACAACAAGCAGACGGGGAATCAAACAGCTAGGGATTTCTTTTGGTTTTATTTTTCTTCTATTTTAATATGAATGTAGCCGGGGCCCATGTTCATAGTAGCCAGGGAAAATCCCCGCCCCAGCTCTTAATGACAGCCCTGAATTTAGAGCCCTTGTAGAACCACACCTATTTTATTTTATTTTATTAGATTCGCCAACTCTTGGCAGGGTCACCGCAACAGCATGACGTCAATTACTGCGGGCCCGTAACAGTCCCTCCCCCCATGAGAGATACATGTAGACCACCACACCGGGGACTACGTCCCCGACTCTTTACAATGTACAGCTATATTTGACCAAATTGTTAACATTAAGAGTTCCCAGCAGCTTTTTTATGACCCAACTACACTAAATACATTACACAACAGCTACAAAAAGGTTCTCACCAGCCAAAGCTCTCTTCTCCTCATCTCTTGCTTTCCTCAAAATCCTCATCTCCTCATCCCTTTCCCCAAGAAGCTTATAAAGTCGACCATTTTCATCTTTTAATACCTGTTTTTTTAAAATAACAATTGTAAAAAAGTCAAAAACACCGTAAAAATTTAAATAATTTTAATTTTTAGTTTGACAACAACTTTAGAACTTTCAGAAGATCTACATGCACATGTTTTCCAAAGCAAAGTAACCTTAAATTACATGTCGCATTCAATTTGTTGTGGATCATGCTATTAGATGTGATTTGAGATACAAGGCTGTGCTCTAGCAGAGTCCGATGGCCCATGGCGCCTAACTTTTGTTCTTGGGCGACTAGAAAATCTTAGCTTTTTCATAGAAATCATATGCTGTGCACACTGGATTTCACAAGTTCAGAGCACTGGGCTCCCTTCAAAAAATTTTTCTTAGAGCACAGCCTTCAGTTAGATGTACAAACTGTACGTGTAGATCCTACACGTGTTGTACAAACAAATTCACACCATTGCATTGTATCAGAAGCCCTGGTTCATGACTTATATACGTGTATTTGACAAACAACATAATTATAAAATAAATGACCCGGATAGCATCCTTAAGCTCTTCTACTTCTTTTTGCATAAAAAGATCTCCACCATTTGCAACAGCAGTATCAAGCTGGGTATTTAAAAGAACAAAAAGGTGATTAATAAATTAATCTGTAATGGACACAGTACTACTATAAAATTATTTGTTTGACTTTGAATCCTGCATCAATTAACAAAGGACTCCCTACAATTATAATTGTACTTTCGCAGAGAGCTGACATCAAAAGGGGTACATTAGTTTCATGACTTTATCCTGAGTCTCATGACTACACAACCTATCTCACGCTCTCAGAAGTTGACAACTGATTTCTCATGCTTTCTCAAAAAGTCAAACTCCATACAATTTTTGCAGGCATCTCTAGGGTTCATTACAATTTAATATAGCAAACTCAATCTAATACCTAGTGGTCACATTTGAGTTAATTTAGTCAATATGTGAATTGCCAACTCGCAGTACTGTTTACATTCTTCAACCATGTCTTTGGGATTTTCACTGCTCCACTTTTAAAGATATGGGACTTCAAATAGCCCTAATCCCCACTGGAAGTCTTCCTACTAGGAAATTGGGGACATCTCACTACTCACTACTTTTCCCAGCTCTAGGTTCAGAATGTCAAGATTTTTTCCTTTCGGGGTTTAAAGAAAGTCTGAACTCAACATCTTTTAACCCTTACAGAGTCTGGTAAAATGGTTCCACAACTTTTGAGTCTGTGGATGAAATCATGTGATGGTGAGACCATAAAAATTGACATGGCTTTGTTGGCAGTAATTTCACATATGGTGCTTTATTTGCCTTTTCTTATAGCATTTCATACACCACCTGCAGGGCTCAAAATATCAGCCAAGCACTGGACAATGTCCGGACAAATCTCATTTTGACCAGACATGTAAATAAGTGACCAGAAAAATGAAATACATTAATATGCACCATTTGAGTACATGTGCAATATGTAAATATATTGCTGACTCTTATGGAATTTTGTTAACTGAAGAATTTAAGAACTACCTTTGTTGATTTTTTTAATTTTTTATTCTGAACACTAATTGTTGCATGTAATTTTTACTTTTTAATTTATATTTGTAAGTGGTTGGTGTCTTGCCCAATTGATGGCTTTTACCAACCTAATCGAGATGATGATGATGTGTCATCCAATGTAGAAAAGCAACGCAAAATGAGATAATGAGAAGTTATATTTTACACTTCAACCTTAACAAACTGTTTATGTGCTTGTGTGTTCAGGGCTTGAAAAAAAAATGAATTCCAGCTCTCAAATTTTGCCTGCCCAGAGCAATTTCTTGCTTTCAAGTCTTACTTAACGATTTTGTTGGAGGATGACTTTCCTCAACCCTTGCCTATTGGGTATTTTAAAAGTACATGCTAGCTTTCTAATAGTAATAATGTACTACTCCCTGGTCAGGAGTCTTAAAGCACAACTAAGTAGAGACCTTTAGATTCTAAGATGAGTACGACTATGAGGATGATTTTTTCTCAATACTGGGTAGTGCGCGCACATGAGCCAGCATCATTTTGGCGGGAAAACTTTATAGCTGTTCTTATTCCGTACTACAAGTTTTAGCGAGAATGTCGTAGTGGCAAAAGTGAGCTATAAAATGTTAGAAGTTTTATCATTTTGTGATCAAGAGAGGGCTTAAGCTCCTTCAATATAGATAACAGTGCTATCTTTTCTAAGGCCATCCCCATAAAATGTTTTGTTCCCATCGCCCGACCGACCCATTTGTTTGGAAAAGTAAAATTTAAAAAAAAATTCCAGAATCACTTGTAAAGAAGCAAGTACTTTAATTTACAAGCACACGATCTTGTCTCATTAACATCAATTGTCTTAAATTATCATCAATACTTCATTTTTGTAGCCTTTTTAGACATTTGATAGTCCTCTCAATATACATCTTTTACCATCTGATTATATCTTGCAGACTAAACATGAGATTTAATATGCAATCATGTGTTCATTCTTTTCTTTTTTTTCCCAGCGACCGACCCACTTTCACAAGAGGGAGGGCAATGGGAAACGAAACATTTTATAGGGATGGCCTTATGGGAAAAAAAAGTACAATGGAGCTTTCTGGGGTGTCTATTTTTTGAGAATATGCAAAAAAAACTTTAAGTTAAATCTCGTACTCCCAGTTGTTCTCATCCTGGTATCTTAAGGTATCTAATTAGTAACTAGCAAGTAATAAGTAATGGTAACAGGACTGAGTGGAGTCCAATTCGGACTGCAATCATGCGAGTGATTAACAAAATCAGACGACTGCGTAGTGAGAGTCCGATTTGTTTAATCATGAGTATGATTACAGACTGAATTGGACGACAGGAAGTTCTGTTACCAATTAATCATAACTTTAACAAAATTTGTGACATATAGGGCTCTTTTCAAATCAAAACACAAGAAATTCCAAGATTTTTTCGCTAGCAATGAAAAAAAAAAGCCGTTTAAGCGCGCGCATGATGGCGCGTACTGTCCAATTACGTAGGCATGATGCGTACTGTCCTATTAAATTGTCCTATTAAGGCTGAAATCAGGGCAGTTGAGAACCAATCAGATTTGAGAATTTTGTTATAGTTATGATTAAATGTTAAAAAGGTTTAATTAGGCTGTTTTATACTGGAAAGTGCACTTAGCTTATGCAGCTAGTTTACAGGCACTCCTCTCAAATACTTAAAGAACGAATAATTCAAATACAACATAAATGGATTAAAAACCCCAACTGGAAGGAGGCAACAAGTTGGTTATTTACAAGCGTGGCCGAGGACTTGAACTCGGGACAACCACAAACAAATCCAGCAAGTAATCGAACCCAGCGGGACCGCCGGATTACGAGTCTGACGCGCTGCCACACTGTTAAAGTTGTTGCTGTTATGTTGTCGTAGCATAATGTAAATATGTGATCAAACTAGAAATACAGTGTTTTTATATAAATTATATATAAATAAAATACTACATATATATATATATATATAGATATATAGATATAGATCTTGCAAACCTTTAAATCTAAATTGTCAGTTTGTCCGTCATGACCCCAAAAGGTGTCTGTCATTGAGCTTGCATCTTCTTGCCCTGTTTTCTCATTATTCTTTGCTTTCCGTTGTTTCCTGGCAAGAAGTTTCTTCTGTTGCTGTTCCTGTATTAACTGGAACTGTTGCCTCAGCGAATCAGACGTTTCCAAGCTCATATTTTTAAAAGATTTTTAGCAAAAATTTTGACTGTTTGGCCGACATATTTGTTGGCAACAACGAGAATTGTTGTTCCCAGTCCTCACTCTTATCATTCTCAAGACGAGGCACACTCTAATAGGATTACATGAAGTGACGTATAATACTTTCACAGTACAGAGATATTTTACTGCATTTCTTGACACGATCTTTGGTTTTTCATCGCGTTTTGGCCTTTTTTCTGTACGGAGTTCTTTCCAAGGAGGCGTTTCAGTTGTTTTAAACATGGAAAACTATGAAAAGATCAAAAGCATAGGCCGTGGAGCTTATGGAACCGTTTACCTTTGTAGAAGAAAATGTGATGGTCGTCATGTCATCATCAAGGACATTCCGGTCGAACAAATGAGTGGAGAAGAAAGGAGGGCCGCTTTAAATGAAGTTCATGTTCTGCAGATGCTAAAACATCCCAATATAATCGCTTATTTCGACAGTTTCTTCGGAGAAACTTCTTTTATGATCGCAATGGAATATGCCCAAGGTGGAACTTTGCATAATCTTATCGAGGAACGAGAAGGCAAACTTTTGGACGAAGAAGAGATTATTCGACTGTTTGTGCAGATTTTGGTAGCAATTTATCATGTCCACAAACAAAAAATCCTTCACAGGGATCTTAAAACACAGAATATCCTACTGAACAAAACACGGAAGGTTGTGAAGATAGGCGATTTCGGCATTTCAAAAGTGTTGAGCAGCAAGAGTAAGGCTCACTCTGTCATCGGCACTCCATGTTACATTTCGCCTGAGCTGTGCGAGGGCAAGCCGTATAATCAGAAAAGTGACATCTGGGCTCTTGGCTGTGTGCTTTATGAACTAGCAACACTAAAAAGAGCTTTTGAAGCCTCTAATCTGCCTGCTCTTGTGCTGAAAATCATGAAAGGAAACTTCAATCCCATATCTGAAAGATACAGTGAGGACATGAAGAATCTTGTTCTAAGCATGTTACAAGTTGATCCTGCCAAGAGACCGACCCTTCCACAGATCATGGCACAGCCTCTGGTAGTAAACGCACTGTTCAATATGGGCACTGACATTGGGCGAGTGCCATGTAACAGAACTCCAAGACCTGTTGCAGGGATATCTGGTAATGCTACCATTATTGTATTGTACATGTGTTTTCTAAGATACTATAAGATGACTGGTTCAGTGAAATGCTGCTTTCTGATTGACTACCTGAATGGGCCAGATGGGCCTAACTTGCTTGCTCCAGGTTCCCGCTTTATCCTGCAAGAACAGGTTTTGTTTGGGCCATATACTGTAATAATTTCTTTATTGACCAAGCGTGTTCAGTCAAGATGGCTGGCATACTGGCCTCGTTCCATTTATGTAACTTTTTTTTAATGACCCCAACTTCCTCTTGGTTCATAAAAATACAATAAAAGAACACCAGGGATCCATATTTGCAGTCGTCCGGTCGACGTCCGACTACAGTCTTGCATGGACGATTAAGATAACTTCATAAGTCATCCTTTGGACTAGTGAGTTTTGTTCAGCCAGAAAGTCTTATGAAAATTCTTAGATGATTTCATCAGTTATTCACTCGTAGTTTGTTTTCCTTTAGTCCCTCAATAAGTTGTGGGGTACAATGTTGGTAACAGTCTGATTTAATGCCACTGAATCATAGTCAACAGTTACTGTTGACTATGATTCAGTGGCGTTCGTTCTAAGTCAGTAAATCAATTCTCTAAAGTGTGTCTTTGAAAGTGGTAGTCTGTAGAAAATATTAAAAATCAATAAAATTTAACCCTGGCATTCTAATGCCCTGTATATTTGATTATTATATGTAAGCATAAAAAGGGTAATGAGAATTTTGGTTTTGGTCACTGTCTGAGTTTATACAGTGTATATAAATATTCTTTGTATTGTTGGCTGTTATAAGTAAATAAAACTGTCTTAACATGTCGATTACTGTATCACTTTGCTTTCAAAGCTGCCATTCCTCCTACTCGTGCTAGATCTTCAAGTACCAACCGGCCTACAGGTACCCAAATCTATCGCACAAGTTCTTCAAAGTCAGCATCTCTTTCCCTGGATGGCCTTTCTGATATGGATGCATATTCCTCTAAGCCACTTGAGCCCAGGTATTTAGTGTACCACTGGGGTGGCGGTATCACCACACCCACTAAGCTACAACTTCCGCAACATGACTCTGACGTAGTGCAGGTCGCATCTGGAAGAACAATGAAGACTGGGGTGACAGGTGGTGGCCGTGCAATCATCTGGGATTCAAACAAGAAAGCAATGGATGTGTCGTCAGACGTTACTGCAGACAGAGAGAAGTTGCTGGAGGATCTTTGGCTACCAAAGTTTCTTGAGGGGCAGTCTGGGGTGACAATTGTCCAGGTGTCCTGTGGGGATACGTTTGCAGCTTGTTTGACAGGTGCTTTGTGTATTATAATTACACTGCTTTCCATCATGAATGCCAGCACTTACTTTCAAATTGAAACTCCAAGTCTTGGATTATTACAAAAAATGCACACATTAATGAATATGTTTCTGGGAAACTGCCCACCCACCCTTCCTTTAAGCCAACATTTTGCTCAAAGTGAGAAGTCCATCTATAAGTGTGAATGTTGACTTAAGGGAGGGGTATGTGGGCAGTTTCCCTGAAACATATAAATATCCACTTTTTTTTTACACTGGGCAAATGACCCTAAGGCTAAGGTCTTTGTTCAGTCTAGAAATACATGTAAGAAATAACCGGTCTAAACACGGATCAAAACGAACTTGAATTCAAGCTTTTCCTTTGGACATTAACAAGCAGTTATCACATTCTTCTTGCCTGTAGCCATTGCTTAGTAGTTGTAGGGGACAAGGTGACTTGCATTGACCCTTCAGCAGCGGATCCAGGAGAAGGGCGTGGGAGGCCCTTGCCCTCATGTTTAGACCAAACTGAGGCCCAAAGGGCCCAAAAAAATTTTTTTGAGACCACCCCTCTCCCTTATCTAAAGGTCTGGATCCCCTACTGCCCTTGCCCATTGGAGAAGTGAGTTTAAAATGTTACTTACCCAGCAAAAAAATATACTGTCTCGTCCCGAACACCCAGATGAGACTTTTGTCAAGCCTTTCTAAAGTTCGAAGTGGCTGATCTGTCCCACGTGACGTTTTAAATATTGGGCCATCACGAAAAATACAAACTGTATGATTGCTTTAGAATAGAATTCATTGCATCAGTGCCCATGTGTCCTGATCTTAGTAATGACCACATAAACACAGGTTTTCATAGTTTTCTGAGATAGGCAGTAAATGAAGTTTATTTATTTGATTATTTATTTACATGCAACCCCAAACTTTGTTGCAGATCGTGGCATTCTCATGACATTTGGAAGTGGTACACATGGCTCATTGGGGCATGGTAACTATAATGATGTTTTACAAGCAAAGATTGTGGAGGCTTTGATTGGATTTGAAGTGGAACAGGTACCATCTGTGACGTCTAATTTCAGTTACAGTAAACGACCAACAATTTAGTGGCAGATCTGTATAACAGAAGGGGGCAGGGGGCTCCATGTTATCTATAAACCTAGCTTAGGCTCACAGGGCCAAGAAAAATTGTCTTCAAGAATGCCCAGCATGCAAAGGAAGCAGTGTCTAATAGCTCGTGGCTATAGATTTTGCTACTGGGCTAGTGAGTTCTGTTCTTAACTTGCTTGACGGACAAGAGAAGTTTTGGGGGAATCCAAATTACAGAGGAATTAGTAATCATAGCTTGTTATTATTTATTTATTTATTTGTAGGCTGGTTGAAATGACTTTTCAGCTAGGACATACTACAACCTGTAGCTACATGTACATGTTCAGCTTGCCCAAATGGCAAGCTGCAAAACTGACTTATCTTAGGGACAGGATGAGCAGGCCCCTCACTAAATTTAAAGATCCAAATCTGCCAAAAGTTCATTATTTCTAGGGTGATTGGAGTGTGCTATGCAAAGTTAAGCACTGATTAAGGGTAACAAAAATGAGTTTACGTTTTGTTCTTGGAAATCGTGTTCCTGCAACATAGCCTGCGATTACTTTTTTGTGTGTCTGTAAGGAGACTCTCCCCTTTTATTTTGTGAGAAAAAATAGTGTGTAGATTCGTTATTGTGGTCTGTCGTTAAAATCTGTAGGTATCCTGTGGCTCTGCCCACGTGATGGTTGTGACAACTGACCGCGAGCTATTTGCCTGGGGACGAGGAGACAACGGCCGTTTGGGGCTTGGAAATCAGCAGTCATACCCTCTACCTCAACCCGTGGGCCTGGAACCTGGCTTCACGGCCAAAGCTGTCAAATGTGGTGTGGATTGCTCCTTTGTACTGGCCCTCAACTACAGGTTGTTAGCTTGCGGTAGCAACAGATGCAACAAGCTGGCCCTGGATAGCAGTCAAAACACTGTCGAGGAATCTCAGACATTCACACCTATCACTGCGTGGCTGCTGACGGCCGATCATGTCAAAGCCGTTACCATGGGAACATCCCACGCCGCTGTGCTGACTGCCAGTGGTAAATGCGTGACATTTGGTTCCAACTCCTTTGGGCAGCTAGGCTATGACCGCGCGGTGTCCTCGCGTGAACCCCAGATTGTACACGCCTTAGAGAACAAGCAATTGACTCTAGTGTCTTGCGGTGACACATTTACAGTCGCAGTAAGCGATGAGGGTGAGGTGTTCTCGTGGGGTAAAGGATCGCGCGGACGGCTGGGGTACCAAACGGACGAGGACTGTTCTACACCCAAATGCTTGTCTCTGCCATTAAAACTCAAGGTTTTGTCTCTTTGTTCAAGCCACTGCTCCACAATGCTCTGCGGAAAAGTGCTGTAATCACGTGCTGACATTTCTGACTGCCAACTGTCCTCTTTCAGCTAATTTTAAGGGGATAAACTATCGATTTGCTTTATCTAAAAACCGTGTGTATTAAGGCAACGTGAGCTTGTGGGGTAGTTTGAATTTAGCTAACTCATGTCAATAAGAATCCATAAAACTAATGATATTTACAAACAACATATTAAAACTAAAAGTAGATGCGGATTTTATCTTAAAACTAAATTATTCATTGAAGATATCTGAAGATTTGAGCTTTGGCTTGAAGTTACGGTGTTAAATATCATTTGACAGGGTATTATAATAGACCTTTTTACCGATACGGCGGCGATATTGAATTAATTGGATTTAAGGAGTATTATGGGATGCCCAGGGGGCATGAGCACGATCCGATATACTCGCAACAGTATTTACGCGCGCTTTTCGGGCCAATTTTTCTTTACGTTTTCCTAGAAAAAGATTGTAACGGGAAAAATAGATCGTTGTGCCGTGTTTGGATGCAATTATGATCACCTTTTTCCCCGAGAAATATACATTGAAGTTCTCTTTTTGCCCGAAAAGCGCCCGAAAAAACTGAGCAAGTGCCCCCTTGGCATCCCATAATACTCCATAAATTTGATAAATTCAATATGGCCGACGTATCGGTAAAATGGTCTATTGTAGGTCATTGCGTTTCATACGACTGCGCCTTTATACGCGACGGAGTCTTTCATGCAGTGAGTGTTGAAACGCGGGACTATAAGAGAAACGCGTGCCAGGGTTGAATAATTTATGGCCCACTCCATCCGAGTCCAGAGGGAGGGAACCAGATTAGAATTACTACAAGGCTTCCACGCTTCGCTTGGGTAAAAGTAAGGGGGGAGCAATAAGTTTTCAAACGAAGGAAATTTTGTTAAAAAGTCTTGGAAAATCGTAGAGGTCTTTTTAAGTCGATGAAACGTTTTTTATTTGTTTATTTTTGTAATTTTATTTCTATTTTATTTTTTTCGGTTAACATGTTTATGTGAAGATTATGGGAAAAAAACGAGAGAATATCGACGGCTTACAATAAAAGAAAGAAAATTGCAGCAAATGCTTTCAAGGGACACGAAACAGGTCAAAATTGATTTGACTGCACCATGAAAGAAGTAAAGAACTTCCCTTCTTCTTACTTGGCCAAACATGGGTCATTATCTTTTGGGGCTTTATACAACAATGACATTTACGAGTATCTTAGAACGTTTATCACTGCTGTGTGGCAATAAATTTTCGCAGAAATTTAATTTCTTTCCATTTTCGTTTCGTGAGCACAGATTCTTTTTAGCGAATTTTTAATTTCAGACTGAGCTACATGTAACAAAATCATATCAGCCACATAACTTCTTTTCCAATAAGGTACGTAACGAGAAATGGAAGTTTTTTTTATCCATTTTCCTTGCGCCTTGTTAAGGCTATCGGCGATTCGCAATAACGGAGGGCTACAATAGTGGTCAAATTTCGTTGAAACGCTATGCGGAAACCGAAGATTTTTCATGTCATGCCTTTTCACCAATTTATCTGACCTTTCCTTTCCCTCTCCTATTTTGAGACTTGTATCTTTTGTGAGCGAGCAACACATAAATCACTTGACGACTATCCCGGAAGAGCTTAACCTGCGTAGCAGGCACTTGGAAGTAGTGGGCACGCGAAAAAACGGGTGCGCAAGAAGGAGACACCCCTCGTGTGTCTCCCTCGCGCGCGCCCGTTCTCTCTTTCGCCCACTACTTCCAAGCGCCTGCTACGCAGGCTAGGAAGAGCTCGAAATTTCAGCTCTTAAACCTTTTTACGATGGGTGTGCTAGAAGGCAGCTAGTCGCACAGTACCACAACAACGGCCCGGGGCGGCACAAGTCGTTCACACCCATCGCGCATTGTACCGAGGCGGTTAGCCGAGAGGGTTTGGTGCACCAGTCCTCACTCCTGAAACTCTTGAATATTTACTTACTTCCGTTCCAGTGGGTTCCAGTCCTCGCTCTGATTATTTACTCGAATAGTGTTCACACTGTACCAAAATATGGAACAAAACCTATCCGATATGCGACGCTCTACTTGCGAAATCAACGCGGCGCTTGGAAGAAATGAGTGCAAGCAGGCTCCTGGTGCAAGAAAGAACGCGATGGAGACACGCGGCGCACCCCTTTGTTTCTTCCGCCCGTTACTTCCAAGCGCCTTCTACCCAGGCTAACGCGGCGCAGCCTCACTCCATCACAGAAATCGCGCCGCCACAACCGTTCTTGTGTCTGAACAGAAGCCCTATCCGGTATGATTCAGTGGCGGATCCAGGAGTTTTTTTAGGAGGGGGTGCACTCGTCTCTTGCTCTACTTCAACACCAAAAAATCACAGTTATTTTTTTTTTGCAGAATACCAGTTGTATTAGAAAACCGCAGGTAATCTCAATGGGGAGGTGCGCACCCCCTGCACCCTCCCCCTAGATCCACCCCTGGGAGCCCCCCCTTATTTTTAGACCAAACTTTGTTTGAGACCGAGGCCCCTCTTATCTCAGGGTCTGAATGACTCTCCCCCCCCCTCCCCTTATCTAAAGGTCTGGATCGGCCCCTGTGATTTCCGTGCCCGTGCATATAGTGCAAACATATCGTTAAACTCTCTCACTCGCGTAGCCATTTTCTTGTCTCGCACTATTTTTCGCAGTGGACATTTGCATTTGTCATAAATTCTGCATAGATTAATATCTCCCTGCACGTTTTAACGAGCCATTAATACTAGCCAACAATTCTGTATACAAAACGTCTTTTTATTGCGTACGGCTAGTAAACAATGAATAAGTTAGTTGACCTTTTTTTTTTAAAAAAAACTTTTAATAATTATAATAAGCTTGCAAAATAGTAACAGTGTGGAACTTCAAAGTGACGCATGGCGAAGGAAACTTACGAAAAAAATATATAATTATTAATAACAGGTTTTGCAGTCCTCAATTGTCACTAATTTTCAGTGCCGAAAGTGCAGTTTTGATTGCGTCGGAGTTGTCGTATCAGAAGGTTTTCTACTAAGTAAACTAGCCTTGAATGGACGTTAGGAGGCAAGAGGTGGCCTGGTTTTGACGGAAACCTCATTGCTTTTAAACTCTAAATTATGTTCTTATACATTTCAACGGAACTGAAGTTTCTTTCAAAAGAAAGTCACCGCCAGCCTAGCCTATTCTTAGGTTACAATGCTTAAAATTAAGCCGTATATTGACCCGGCCATTACTTCACGTTATAGTTCATTTCTTCAAAACTTTGTACACAAATCCATGGCCATAACTGGGCAAATCCTCCTGATTAAAGTAAGGGATTTTCTTGGTTCCAAGTTTTTCCCATATTCCTTCTTTCTCTAGCTCCGTCATCTTGGGTTCATAGTGATCTACTTCATTGTACCGGAGCAAAAAGCAGACGAGACCACCTATGTACGATAAAAGAAACAAAACCTACGTTGAGCTAAGTGGAATCTATAGCTAGGGGTTTGTAAGGTAAAAATAATATTTTTGCTCAGTAAAACGCAAACGGTGTAAAGCTAAAAACTGTTTATTTCCAGTCTAAACCGATTCGTACTTTGTTCAACCAAATGGGAGGGGCGTCTGTCCCCTTAACACACGGAAGTCACCCCTGTCCCCTTTCTACTTCACCCGGGAGCCAGATATGCCTTAAAAATACGTAGAAGAATGTGCGGTAGAGCTTTTTGATTTTTAGATACGTTTTTATCACAGCGAAAGCGAAGGTTCGTAAAGCCCGTCTCCTTAGATCTAACTCTCCCTCAAAGACAGAGAAACCAGCTCACCCTTCTTCACCATTCTTACTATCTCCACGAAAGCTTCTGGTCGCACGTTTGCCATTATCAAAGCACCAGCGGCAATCACAACATCGAATTCTCCTGTTTCAACTTCGCATACCCTCTTCTCCGTCAGAGCTGCGCAGATAAACCTCTTGTATGGCACGCCTTTCTTTCTCGCTACATTCAGCATTTCTTCCGAGATATCAAGCGCGTGGACACAAGTGTAACCGAGTTTATCAAGTTCGATCCCTATTGGCCCAGTTCCAGCTCCAGCATCGAGGATTTTCAGCTGATCTTTAGGAATGCTGGGAAAACTTTCCTTCGCAAAACTGTTCATGTAGTCAGAGAGTGGTTTGTGGAACGCGACACCAGCTGCATCAATTTGCTGAAGAGATCACATCAATGGAAAGCAAATTAGTTTGTGTTCGATAAAGCTTTGTGCCAGGGAGATTGGGGAAGCTAGCTTACGGCCTCCCCCCCCCCCCCCCCCCCCTGATTCTGCCCAGCCAGATAAAACCATACTCGACAAAAACTGAGAGAACAATCTTTGTTTTAAAAAAATACCGGATACGTGTGGACGAGGACCTTAGAGTTATTGTAATAACATAAAATAATAAACTCTGAAATCTGAAAAGTTGCCCCAAAGTTGCCGAGCTTCG